CCATATAAATAGACTTCCCTTGCTCAATAGTCTTACGAGAAGTTGACACCAATGTTTTTTGGGTTGTACATATGCCTTCAGCATATTTGACATGTGGCTTATCGTCTGGATCTTCTAGCATCAAGTTGTATTCATAATTATTTCACATATCTCAATTGAAAAGGGTCATACCTAATAGTCTTCCGACCATTAGTCTGTTACAAATAGACAAAAATATCATTAGATTATAACTCTAGCCAAGCTATTGGCATTTCACCATACACCTTATGAATTGGAGGTTCAAGTACAATGGCAAGATGTTGCCCTCAAAGAGTCCACTTGAGAGAAGGCACATGACATCCTCTATCATTATCCAAGTTTTCACCTTGAGGACAAGGTAAAATTTTTGAGGGGCAATAATGTCAAGACCCTAGCCATTAGCCCCCATCCACATGACAAGAAGACTATAAGGATACAACCATTTCACCCTCAAAGAGATATTAAGAGGTTGAGACAATTATGGAAGACCGGAACTAACAACAATTTAAGGTGATAGAAGATTTGACAGACTACTTGTCAGGCAATAAGGAGCATGGTCTTTAAGAAGACAGGAAGAAGAAGGAAGGCATCAAATATTTCTCAAACTTCTAAGAGAAGAGAGGAGAGTGGCTATCTCAAATCAACCAATCAAGGGTTCCCAAGTGGTTCCCTTATCTATCTTTTCATTTTCTTTGTCATTTCTTCTTTGTCACCTGACGTGACTTAGTCGTTGTATAGTAAATCATGCAAATTTAAAATTTATAAAACTAAAAATATAAATTTTTAAATATTTAAAAGTATTTCTAAACAAATATATCAAATATAATTTAATAAAACTTCCAAAAATATTAATAATTTTCTAGGTCGATCACAGAAATGTAATATAATATTTGGTAATTATTCAAAAATTTTATCAAAGAATACTAATTTCTATAAATTTTATACTAGGAAATGAAAAGGAAATATATTTAAAATTCACGAAAAAGGGAAATAAAGGTGCGGACGTCAAGATGATGTCAATGCCCGATGAACACAAATTGGGTGAAAATAGAGTTCTACCTGATGATTCTTATGTAAGCGATTATAGATAATTTAATTGATCAAATTAAAATTTGTAAAAGCTAAAAGAATCATAATTGAATGAAGTATATCTTGGTAAATTTAAATCACACAAATTATCACTAAATAAAGCGAAAGTAAATTGAAAATAGAAAAATAGAGTTTTAATGTCACGACGGCGATGCGTCGACGATGCAACGGAATCCTAAGTAGTCGAAAGGATTGTTGTGCAGTGTCTACGGCCTTGAAGGCTCTCCTTGGATAAGGACAACGTGAGCAATCTCTAAATCTCCTTGCGAAGTCTAGAGATCAATGAATTAGGTCGTCGAACCATCTCTAGCAGCTGTCACCCAATAGAGTAGAAAAACAACAACTTTGCGGCTCTCTAACGATTGCCACTTGACGGAGAAGAGTTAGATGGAGGTGAAGCATGTGTTAGGGAGCTTCATCCTCAGGCCCGCACAGTAAGAGTAGATTCTTCATCGCATCTAGTACACTCTCAAGAGGTGGCGACTCGTCTCCTAGTGGATCATCCTATTCTCAACGACGGCTTGTTCGTTGATCAATTAGAGATGTTTTACTTGATAGATTCGTGATCTTTTTATCGTGAATCATTCAACAATTTTAGTAACAATGCTCTACAAATCGCGTTGACGAGATTTTTGTTAATAATCTAACGATTTTAGTTGCTTAATCTTTCATCGGTGATCTGTAGAAAAGTCACAATAATCAAATAAAAAATATGAGTTTTGGCTCTAGGAGGATTCAAATCTGTGCCAGTTGCTTGCCCTTTTTAGAGAACGTGACGTGGGTTTAGTCTCACATCATTTGTGTGCCGAATTTTCAGCCGAATATATAGTAATGTTACATTTGCAAGCAAATCCCTTTCTCACATATGTACGACCACTCTTTACCCCACAGCCGGCTGGCCACCAATGACATGGAAGGAGGGTGACGCACACGTGCCACTATCGGTTTAAGCCGCTCAAGCCCCTACTCACAGCTACTCCTCGATTGTGCTTCTAACCCGCTTGTAGGCCTAGCTAGTCGACGGGTGCTCTCCATTTTGTTTTATTTTTATTTTTATTTTTATTCTTCATTTATCTCGAAAGTAAAACTATAAAAATCATATAAAATCATATTAAATCACATAATTATTTAAAAAATTATATTAATTAATTAAAAACCACTTTTCATACTTTAACACAAATATAAATCTATTTATCATAAATTAAGACTAAAACTATATTATTTACTAATTATTAACTCATGATAATGAAGACTTATCATTACCCCATGTCACCCCCATCATCTTAGACATGAGGGTCCTATGAGTCTATTGTTTTCATGTCTTCTCTATTCACAAAATATGAAATAAGAGTTCTATGTACTCTTTTTTTTCTTTTCTGTCTTTTAGTGGACATCTTATAAAGGGCACTTATCACTTACACAATATGTAACTAACAATGATTCTACTACTCCTAAAAAATCACTTTAGTCAATTTTTAAATGAATTAATGGCAACCAATATACTACCTCCTATCTATGAACCTTGGAATTTGAATTGAATTCCTTGGAATTGGATTCCAAGTCAATCAATATTTTTTTTAATTATCTATATTTTCAAAAATATAAATTAAGAAATTTGTTTAAAAAATATTAGTAGTTATAATTATTTAGTACTTAAATAGTCCATACTCTTGTGAAAAAGAAGAATAGTAGCTTATCTTTTTGTGTGGATTATCTCATGTTCAATAAGAGTACCATCTTAAGTCTTTTATCTATCTTAGTTGTCATTGAGAAACTCCTTCATAAATTATATAAGGAGATTATATTCTAAAAAATAGACATAAAGTCTGGCTATCATCAAATTTAAATAAGAGAGGAGGGCATTCATAAAATGATTCTACACACATGAAAGATAATATAATTTTTTTGTGATGTCGTTTAGTCCTTCAAATGAACATACAACCTTTGATCCTTTTTGTGACATTATTTTTCACCTATGACTTTCAAAGTTTTCCATATGATATCGTTCAATCAAACCATGTTTGAGGAGACATATCTCCCTTCAAATGTCTTTTCGCAAACTTGTGAGGAAGATATTTCTCAAGACTTGTTTAGAGAGTATATTTATAACCATTGCCATGAACTTGTCTAGTTGATGCCTCAAACTCTCCCAATCTTTGAAGGATTCTAAAGGGTGAGTTCCCACTTAAACTAGGCGAGGGCTTTGACTTCAATGCTCAAGCCAACTGTGGTAAATTTCTTAGCCTTCATCAGGCAATACATACAGAACGGAGTCCTCTAGGTTTGGGTATGACCCATTTCAAATCATCAACGGTGAAGTCGCCCGTGAGCGAGCTGCTTCAGCTGGTAGGGACCGCCGCCGCCGGGCGCATCCACAGCCAGAGTGAAAGCCCGAATGACGGTAAAAAGGATTTACCTCGCCGCCCCCCAGCGCTGCATTTATTGCTGCCTTCACGGGCGCAGTCCGAACCTGCACGGCGTCGGTGCCGGCTGGTCGAGATCTCGGCGACGGCGACGTTCGGGCAGCTCCGGCGAGACGCCGGCTGCCGCCCATTTGACCGTTAATAGTCAAACTCCAGGTCAATATCAAGAGATGTAAAAAAGTCCCCGAGAGAGAAAGTGAGAGAGCTTGCTATGCTTCCTTCTCATCGTATGAACGAAACTGTCCGGTGAGCAGCGGCCATCAGGCAGTCTCTTATTTTCAACTGCCGCGGCAAATAAAAATTCAGCGTCGCCGGTCGATCCGCGGCGGGGGGGAGTCGGCGGGGTTGTTACCATTAAACTAGGAGGCGGCTCCTCCGCCCGCCGAACACGTCGACGCCGCCGCCCCGTTTTAGATTAATCCCGGCGGAGACGTCGCCGTCCGAGGCGATGGCGGGTCAGCTCGGACGTTCCAATCCCGGACATACGGTTGCTGGTGGCGCCGCCACTTTCCAGAAGGGGGAAGAGATAGACAGGTGTCATCCGCCTGGGCGCAGGCGGATTATCTGCTTGTCGGGCCGGAAGCCGCTCTCGAGCCGGCCCACAGGCGGGAAAGAAACCGAAATCAAAACGACGGCGTGGGGAGGGGACTTGGGGGAAAAGGCCGTTTTAAGCGCCCAGAGCGACGGCAAGCTGCGAACGTGTCGGGGTAGTTTGGGAAGTATGAAGAAAATACGGAGATAATGTTTTCTGAACTGGTGGGACTACCCACCGGACTCTGCCGGTCGCGTACCTGCTCTCTCACCGGCGTCTCCCGGTCGTCGTCATCCTCCTCTCTCTCTCTCTCTCTCTCTCTCTCTCCCTGTGATTCGTGTTTTTGTCTATGGCCCTCCTCTCTGCACGCCGTTCTTCTCTTATAAAGCTTGCCGCAGTGCTGCAGTTCGCTTCCTGTGGTTCGTCTTGTTCGCTCAGTGTTTGCAGTCGGATCGAGAGGGGTCGTCCGCTCCCGGGGCGTCGAAGCGTCCTCGCGCAGCCGGTGGCTGGATGGTTTCTGCGAGATCCTGGAGACTGTCTGGAGCGGGACGGTCGTGTACGTCGGGGGGCCGGCGGGAGAAGTTGTCGGCCGGATTTGCGAAAAGTTGAGCTCGGCCGCTGCTCTGCTCTGGCTGGGCTTTTATGTCGGGAATGGTCCCTTTGTGAACCCTAGCTATAGTTTGAATCTGGTGCTGCTGAATTTGTGCCGTGAGTTGCTGCCTGCGCCGGAAGGTGGATTGGGACGAAGACTAGTTGGGAGGTCGTAAGTTAGGTTTTCGGTCCTCGATTCGGCTTTGGTTCCAGTCGAGAGTTGGGGACAGTCTCGCCAATCTCCCGGAGTACTGGCATTCGACGGTCGGTGAGCTCTCCTTGTATTCTAGCCTTGGGAAGAGAGAAGTGCAGAAGCTGGTTGAGATCCGAGTTTGGAGGACCTTCCAATGTCGGGAGCACCGACGGTTCGTTCGATGAACCTGGGAGAGTCTGAGGTGAGGCCGGTTCTCGGTCCCGCCGGGAACAAAGCTAGGTCGATATCCACCTTAGGGAAGCCAGCGTCGAAGCCTCTGAGGAAGGTGGAGAAAGCCACTGTGACATCACCAGATGGAAGGAAGCCCCCAAGTTCTGCTAACGATTCACCTCCCTTGTCGCCTTCTCCGAGCGCCCCTTCCATATTAAGGAGACAGGAGCTGCTATTGCATTCCAACTTGTCACTTAATGCTTCTTTTTCGTCGGATTGTTCCACGGACTCGTTCCGCAGCCGGGCGTCCACCGGAAGAATCGGAGCCTCGAGGCTGACGAGGCATCGAAAGCATGTGCTACCCAGGCTAGAGAGGAATTCACCGAAGGTGGAGAAGGCGGCGTCTGACGGCGATCCTGCGTCCCCCCAAGGAAATCTTCAGGGCAAAAAGACCTGCTCTTGGGTGACTCCCAACGTTGGTAAGCCCTTTTCATATTTTCTTTCTTTTATGATGATTGCTGGAATTTTCCATTGTTGAACGCTCTCAGTTCAGCATAAATTGCAATATAGATATTACCAGTGGTACAATTCCAATCATTTACTCATTTGTCCCGGAACCACCAGAACAGTGCATCCTTTGTCCTGACAGTTAGAACTGTGATTTTCGTCATCAGGTGAAAGATTGGGGAAAGTTACTGTAGATCCCTTTTGACTATTGAGTTATACTGTCTATTCAGTTTCTGGATGCCTGATTTTTTTTCGTTCTGCTTCAATTGATGGAATTGAACTTTTTGGATGAGTTATTTTTTTGTTAGCAACAGTGTTTGAAGTGAAATCGTATTCCAGATTCGTAGTTTATCATGTTCTGATTTTTCAAACAGGCCAGTTTTTTTCCTGTCCGATTCATCCATCCACACTCTCGGATGAAAGCAGATACGAACTTCTCCTGGTTTTTGATGGATGAATCCCTTGAAAAATGAATTTATTTGGTTTTGAAGTGTCTGCTTCGGTGATTATTACTTTTTAGACGTTGGTAATCCATCGGGGTATTCAGTTACATGACCCACGATACATCATATCCGCCATTGACTAGGTCTTTCTGCTCAACGGCATGGAAAGAAAGTCAACTTGAAAGTTTCAAACTCAAGCTGTACAACCATGACTAATGCCTCTTAAATGGGGAAAAGAAATTGTGGTTGGAAGGAAATCATTAGGACCAAAGCCACTGTTTGACCAAGAAATTGACCATGGCGACAACCTGTGGTGACTAATGCACTTTTGAGAGTGAAGAAAATGGATCAATAAAACATAACATATGTGGTAAATTTTTCCAAACTTAGAAAAAGCTGGGTTAATCCGTGAGGCTGTGCATTTATTCTTCCATGTCCTGCTTGCCATACCCTTTGGGCATTTTCCTGCTTCGTTGGCTATTACTGATTGCCGTTGTATTTTCAGTGTTGGTAGGATTGTTCTTATGGGAATATCAAGTAGTGATGCTTTTTGCCACGATTTTACTGGTTTTTGAATTGAGCATGAGCTGATTTTGAGCCTCCACAGTGATGTTCAGGTTCTTGCCCTAAGCAGGATCTACCGTCTGGTTTCGGTTTGTGCATTGGTTGCACCAATTTCTTCCAGACTACTACTCTCCTCAAACCAATCATTGCTAGCTTATTTCTTCTTCTTTCTCCATTGCAGTGGATAGAATTAGAAGATTATGAACAGTAGAAAGTGAGGGAGTTTTTCTTTTCTTTTCTTTTCTTTTATAAAAGAGAACATCATCATACATAACCATTCTTTAAGTCCTAAAGTCTATTGTCCACAATGCCCGACTTGAAATATCCCCAAGTTTTTCATGGACCTCTGACCTTTGACCTTTGACTTGAAATATCCCCCGAGTTCAAGCTCTGTCTCGATCTCTCTCCTCTAGAAAGGCAACGCTTTAGTGGCTCCTCTTGTTTCACTAACATCAACTACTCTTCATCAACAGATCCATTGTATGTCGCCTTCCATGATGAGGAATGGGGAGTCCCTGTCCACGACGACAAGTATGCGATCATTGAACCTTGCACATTGAGCCTTTCCTGGGATGATTGCTGTCTCACAGTGCCTGATTATTTTGACTTTCCAGAAAACTGTTCGAGCTGCTTATATTATCCAGTGCACTGGGTGAGCTCACATGGCCTGCAATCCTCAGCAAGAGGCACATATTTAGGTAACTTTGCCCACCCGATGCAGATATGGTGGCGTATCCTGGTCAGTATATATCTAGTAAGATCTTCTGAATCGGCCCTCTTTCAGGGAACTCTTCGCAGACTTTGACCCTGTTGCAGTCTCTAAAATGAGTGAGAAGAAGCTGACAGCACCGGGAAGCCCGGCCAGCGCGATGCTCTCTGAGGCCAAGCTCCGCGCAACCGTTGAGAACGCGCGCCAGATACTTAAGGTCGGCCATCTAATATCCTCTCTGTGGCGCGTTGACTTTTGTGGTGTCAATAGAATCACCCAGCAAATCCCAAACAATGGTGAAGCTATAAATCATACCAAGTTGGCGGGAGATTATCCATGGAGAAGATGCGATCACTGGACAGAATGATGACTGTTCGTTCATGTGGTGCGTTGACTTTTGAGGTGTCAGAGAGCTCATCTTTCCTTGTTTTATGTTTTTTGTTTTTTTTTTGGATTGGCTGCGGCAGATCACAGAGGAGTTGGGGTCGTTCGACAGATACTGCTGGGGCTTCGTGAACCACAAGCCCATCGTCAGCAGATTCCGCTACCCGCGGCAGGTCCCGGTGAAGACCCCGAAGGCGGAGGCCGTGAGCAAGGACATGGTCCGGAGGGGCTTCCGCTGCGTGGGCCCCACCGTCGTCTACTCCTTCATGCAGGCCGCCGGCATCACCAATGACCACCTCATCGCCTGCCACAGATTCCACGACTGCTGCGCCGCCGCCGCCGCCACCGAGAGGAACCCCTCCCCCGAGGCAGAAGAAGAGAAGCCCACCGTCGCCGCCGATGAGTCGCCGTAGTAGCCCGAGAGAGCTCCTCCAGTGAGCCTTTGCATTTTATCTGTTCCTTCCCCGTGCTGTTGTAGATCGGATTTCCTCCAAAAAATGGAGTGGGTGGAGACGTTCTTGCGCCACCCTCGGATGGGGCGGATCAAAAAAAAAATTAATTCATGTAAAGAGCTTCTGAGGTAATTATGAATGTACTGTCGACCCACTGTAGCAGCGTCGCCGGTCCGTCTCCTTGGGCCCCTCACTCGGCTTCTCTACGTCCCTTTCGATCAAGATCTCTCCTCCCATCTCGAAAAAGGACCCATCTTTTTTCTGTCGGTTAACACGGCCGACAGGGACTGCCGGCTGCGACAGCCGCCTTCCTGTCGCCGACGATGCCTCCAAGCTCCTCCGTTACGAGGCCTGAGGAGGTTCGTAGTCGCCTTCACGGGAGAAAAAAGAACCACCCCATATTCTACCACGTGTATGCCCAGAAGCGGGGCCAATTATTGTCGCCTCGCCGGAGCTGAAGAAGACGATCCTGGTGGCGGAGCCGCCGCCGCCGCCGCCTGGGAGGATCTCGCAGAGCAGCGGAAACGATTGACAAGACCCACACAGGCGTTCTTCCATAAAAGAGGTTCCCGATCTTACATTGGCGTAAAACTAAGGGGGGCTATACAAATACAAATATGTAAACAAGAAGCTCGGCTGCTTAAAAAGAGTATGATACAGAGGGAGGCGACTGAAAGCGTACGGCAAAATTCAATAGAGTTCGTTCAGGAATTCTGGACGGGGACCGGCGGGCGATTCTTGTCAAACAGCGGCCGTTGCATGGCGTCGGAGCCCTTCCCGTCGGCCGCCTCTTCCGCGGCGGCAGCGGCGGCGGGTTTGAGCCCCATGCTCAGAAGGGTTTGCGCTGATTCCAGGGCCTGGTCTGCGCCGTGCTCCGATGCCTTCGAATCCACGTCTGGCCGGGATTCGACTTTGGGCCCCTCGTCCGCCGGAGGACTGGCCGGTGGCTGCCCACCGGCGCTCCCAGAGGCGGCGGCGGCGGCGGCGGCGGCAGCGGCGATGAGCAGGACCGGGGGGTCGCCGTCGTGTTTTGGTGGCGGCCGGTCGTGGTTGTGCTCTCCTTCGTACGTGATTATGAACGCTTTCGGGTCAACGGAGTCCTTCTCTACATGCTTCCGAACAGGGCAGCCTATCTGCGTACATCTGTAGTAGCTCCTGGATGTACAGACCAAAGGGGAAGGAACATTAGGGCAGATGGCAGCAAAGCTCGAATAGAGGATAACTTATTGACGAGCGAGAAGTAGTCAACCCCAACCCGCTGTACCATGATGAAACCATAGCATAAAGGGTCAACCCGAGCAGCAAAAAATGTTGCATATAGAATCTACTATCTGTTTGTCAACCAAAAGAAGGTCAAAGAGATCACAGAGAGCCCCCAAGAGGCAGAGCACAAGCAAGAGGAGGAGGCTCTTGTCGGTCAACCCCCACACAAGACTCCAACCTACGCCTAGGGGGAGGCTATTATGATATTGACGATGGATGAAATAGCGGCGGTTGAAGAACACTTCCAAAAAAAGAAGTCAACTGACAGCAGATGAAAAGGGAGAGAATAAATCGTTAATCGTTTTGGCATCATATTTAGAATGAGAGAGGATAAGAAAAATTGGGAAGCACACCTCTGCTGAGGCATACAACCACCAAAGGACAGAAAGAGAGAGATAATAAAAATACAAAGAGATTGTATGAGGAAAATCCTACCCTCCCTTAACGTTTGGTAAAAAAACATTTAGGAGAAAATACTGTGCATAAGCCGCGGCATTAATAAAAATGAAGCAATCCAAATGATAGATGTCATCTGAATCTTGTTAGGAGCATAAGATTTGGCAAAGTGAAGAAAGTGAGATTTAGCAGAAAGTTGTTATACCCGATGGGATGAGAACAATGTAACTGGTATAAGATACATCCCATAATCTTCTAATCTTCAGTTTCATTAAATGATATGATGGGTGGCTATTGTCTTCTAACCAAAGGACAAGTTCTTCAACAAATGAATTATAAAACGTTTAGTTAGCAATATCATACCATACTACAATGAGATTAATACCTAGAAGCTAAGTGTATGCATCCATGATCTTCTTCGGCATGGCCCGCCTTTCTGAAGTTGATGAAAGAACAGAACACCTCTCGGTCAGTTTTCAAGGCCCTGATCCTAATTAAATGATCTTTCAATCAAATGTTTACGAGCATATGCTTAAATATCTCGTGAAGAGATATTTTACATCCCAGAGGGGGGGCTATAATTGGATATACCGTTGTTTCTGGTTTAGAAAACAGAAGCTCCCACAGATAATCTACAATATAACTGTGCAGATGTAGATCATTGGAAAATGTGGATTAAAATAAAATAAAATAATCGCATCAATCCCATAAAAGTCAACCACAAATCAACAGTATGCAAAATATCTCCAATCCCTCTCAACTGTCGTTGTGTCTGGTCTTATTACACTGTTCAATACTTAATAGTAAGGGCCTTGACCCTTATTAGCGCAATCAGCACTAGTCTCACGTCTGAGAACCCAATCATGATGAATTTAACAGAATTCTCTGCGGAAGATTTTAAGTTTCGACATAGATTAGTCAATAGAAAAATATAGGGCGTGTCAAGGTAAATATACGAGGAATATACTACGTTTCATCTCCATTAGTACTCTTCATACCGAAATAACACACAGTTAATGAAAGTTCACATCTCTATTACTGAATTTATTACTGCAACACTTCAGAGATGACATGGGAAAAACATCTCATACTGCCTAAGGAAAACATGAAAAAGGAAAAAGTAGGAGAGAAGTAATGATTCAAAAACAATTATGATAATAGAGAGATCTTGTATGATTCTATGTGCTGTCAATGTCCTTCATGACCTGTCAATTTTGGCATAGGAGCGATCCCAAGGGGTACAAAGAATGGAAGAAGTAAGGATGAATATGACAGGAAGCTATTTTATCATGTTCTTGTATAAAGATATCAGATCACCAAGATCAAGAAGATGGTGGATGACAGCCTACATCTCTAGCTGTTGATATCTGAACTAGCAGCTGGAAATGGGACAAACAACTGTAAAGAACACAGCCAGTGAGCGTGGGAGGATTACGAGTGGCTGAAGGGAAGCTGAGGAACATGCATGTGATATTTGAGGCAAGAGCTATGCTAGTGAATATGTGGCATCATCGGCTAGATCACAGACACACTTAAACCGGGTTCGTTCACATAGGTTCCCCCATATCTTATGAGGAAGGAGATAGCAGAATAGTGCCGCAGAAATGTGAGGATTTTGCCACAGAATGATCGTCTGGGGATCATTCTGACAGATGTTCGTGAAAACTTTACATATGACAGATTATATGAATTGAAGCTTTAAAAACTAAACGAGAGAAGACGAACATGGTGATTCAGGGAGGTTCAGAACTGTAATGGACGAGAAGGTAAGGAAAGAGACATTCAATGGCAACTTGACAACGATATGGAGCATAAGATCGGATTAGGAGACCCCGCTAGGGATCTGATCGCCTTCATTGGCTAATCTGTGGGAAGAGCCAGAATAAGGCTTGAATTTTTTTAAAAAATACTAAAAGAAATATTATTTCTTGAAAGGGGTATTATTACTTCAAAGCCAGCGAAGATAGCTACATGACAGATTTATTTCGTTGATTCTTCTTCCAGCTGCTCCAGCCAGCTACAATTCAACAGTAGTCAGCAGCGACTCAGGAGGGGTTGGCCTTTGGCCATCTACTTCTGGGAAGCTAGAGGATAGGATCCGATCAGCTGCTTCCAATCCCATCCGCCTCATGTCGCATAAAGAAGCTGACCGTGGCCACGATTTGAGCAGATAAAACAGGAAAAATGTGAATTTCTAAGAAGATGTAGTATCCTCAAGTCCGAATTCAGACTCACTCACCAAGTTCCCAAAAGGTGTCTCACCTTGGGTAGATATAATACAATCATTTAGAGATTCGAACAGAGTAAGGGATCACATCTTCACAGAGGTATGAAGTTATGAATTCGAGAAAGAATGCAATGAGACATACTAGAGAACAAATTCCCCGACTCCATGTAACAGAAATTAAAAAATGCACAAATTTTAAGCCACTTGATCGCCCAAAGAAGAACTGCACTATGCAAATCAAAGACACCAGTGGGGATAACACGACGTCATCCGGTCGGCTAAGTCTGAATGAAACGCTTAATAATCAAATGAAAACTAAGAAGTGGTATATTTTATGATAACCATTCTGATATCACGCTACAGCAAACTGCTGTAGACTAGTTTGGTCCTGGATGATGATGGAGACAACTGATTCCTTCTCCTCCATTTCCAATATGTATTCCACTATTTCATCAGTCGAAGTATTTTCCATCACCTTCAAAAACAAATCTACCGTATCAACGATCTGTCAAGTGATCACCTTGAGTAATTATGTATCAATAACACATACCACATCGTGAATACTAATAGTATTGTTGTATAGGGGCTGCATAACCATATGAAAATACAGCTTAGACAGTGTTTTCTATCCTCCAGAAAGCCATTTATGTGCTAAACCAAGATTATTTCCATTTAGACCAACTCATACAAGTCGGATCTGCTCTCAGCCTCTCTGAAATGAAATTCGCCTTCCATGCTATTTGATGTGGTGCGAGCTTCTGCTGATAGCGTATCATCAGAATCATGCGTACTTTGTTGCCATTCCTTGAACATTTTCGAACAAAAGGCTTCTATCATGGCACATTCACTGATACAGACCAAATGACTAAAAGATGTTCAAGTGTAACTCGGTATAAGTTATCACATATCACAGGTCACACATTAGAGGTCCACTTGAGCTGATTCAAATTGCCCCATAGCGACATAAAACTGATGAGGAGATTTTAAACTACAAGCAGAAAAATTACCCTCTCAATAAAGTCATTAAATCTGAGCTTAGTATCTCATCTTCCATAAGTGAATGAGGACTTCCAAGAACGACTGCCCAATTCCCGTCTAATCAAAGATCGTCCTTTTGTTAACATTCTGACACGTGAAGAAGTTCTGGGCTCAGCTATGGGCCAAAACATACAGAATTTCCATCAATTGCAAATGGCAGAGTCAAGGACCACGCAAACGACAGTTTCACAGATCGGAGACTTCAGATATAACATGTACTTCAGATTAGTATAATGCCAGATAGCATTGACCCCCGATATAACATGTAAGAAAAATCATAGAAACACAGCAGGATGTTGAAAACACACTCTGAGAAGCATGATATGTTCCAGACTGGGAAACAATGAACAGTCTGTTTATTGGGATTGGTCATCTATCAGGTGAAAACTAACTTCGGTATAAGACAATTATATTTCCATGGTGAAACCCCATGGGCAAGGTACATACCTTGGATTAGGATTTCCTTTCACAAATTTTTGCCCATACTTGCGCCATCTGTAGCCATCGCTCACAATACCTCCGTCTGAAACTTTCTGTACAACAACTCTTTGCTCCTTGACTGTCTTGGAAGGAGGGGTTGCACTAGGCAATGGGCTTTCCGTAGTCTTGCTGAAAAAAGTAAAATAAAAAATATCATCCGAGAAATCAAAGGATACAAAATTTTGAAGACCAATGAAGGAAAAACGCTGTATACTAGCCTTCGCTTGGGACTCGGTTCATCACCAGGGCCTTCTTCATTTTTAATGTCAGCATCACCATCACGGTCACTTGGGTGGGCCAACTGACGATCAGATGTGTCACTTCCCGAATTTTCCTCCAACTTAGATGGTGAAGGTTCTGATCCATTTATATCCCCACTTGCAAGAGTAATGGTCTCATTATCACCAGAAGACCCAATGGATTGAGGCCTTCTCTCCTTCGAATGCTTGGTTTTCTGTGCTGGATTGCTATTGGATGAACGTCTACTGGACACTTTAGAAGCAAGATGTATTGATCCATTCGCATCAGAAATTGCAGGCGTTAACGTTTCATTATCTCCAGAGTGACCACTAGACGGAGGCCCTCTCTCTTTGGGGGATTTACTCTTCTGAGGTGGGTCATGATTGTGTCCACCTCTGTAAACTATTTCTACCACATGGCCATCTTGACACCGTTCAACCTTCTTCTTCGCGAAACAGTTGCTATGCGTACATTTATAGTAACTTCGAGAATTTTCTCCACTTTTTACTTGTTTCTGGCCATACTTTCTCCAGTTAAACCCATCACCTGACGTTGTATTCAAAGCAACCCGATCAGTCTGCAGTTTCTGATCGGCGGAAGGCGGCTGCTCAACCACTGATGAAACGCCATCGTGTTCAGATGCTGAAGGTGGCACCTGCTGTAAAGGGAGAGGACTAATCGTGGATATCACGGACGGTGACGTGTAACCAGTCTGTAGCTGCATCTGTGCGTGAGCTGTGACAGTTGCCAATACTGCCTGATGTGTCATTGCAAACTGACCCTGGAAGATAAATATGTTCATCAACTATAACAGAGGCATGCAGTAATGTAGAAGTCAACCAGAAAATGACTTGGTGCTCTCATTCTGAAAGTCATATATTGCCTACAGATACATGGCTGAACGAGCTCAAAATGTAAACTAAGATATTAGTGTCAAATAACAGTGGACTATATTTAATTATATGCTTATGTTTGGGTATTATCCAAAGTAATCAACCTTTAAGATCGTTTGAGAAACATGCAGTCATGCAGGCTGGGCTAAAAGTTGGAAGAATACCACAAAACAGACCTCAACTCATGATAAAATACTACGTGGGGATGTGTCAGCAAGAACAAAGCCCATTACGAAAAAACACATGAAAATATCCACCCAGAAACATAGAATAGAACTTGGAAGTCAGGTGTTTCCGGTTTTTTAGGCCAACTTTCGTGCGTAGCCACTTTGAAGCAGGACATAAAATTCTCCATATACTGCTTAATGCAAGGTATTCGAGTTCATTTCTAGGAGGAAAATAAAGTTTCCTCTTCATAAACGATGACAATTATTGATGACTATATCTGTTATGGGATCCAACGGAGAAATCCTTCCGAACTTTTGAATCACAAAGAGAGCCGTGGAGCGGAGTTTCCCATCCACACAGGAGGAATCTAGTGCAGATAATCCTCAAGGAACGAAAGATCCAAAAAAAATGGATCAAAATTCTGAGTTCCTCGTGAAGTGATATCAATGGCAACAGTCTGCACCGTGCAAAAGGTTTACAAATGTTCTTGTCTCATAATCCGGTGATAGAACAGGCCTAGGAAGCTAAAATTAAAACAAAAGACAGGAAAAACACAAACGTAGTCACGTAACGAAGGTCAGCTTTAGAGTCTGATTCACGGCCAAAACAACCCAGAGGAAAAACCAGAGCAGTTTAGAATAATCTAAGAAATGAGGACAAGAAATTTCCAGGCATATTTCACAGAGCAAGTGCACGTAACCTCATTTACACGAAGGAATCCGCCAACGACAAAATTTAAATGCGTCGCTGACGAAGCTCGAAAAAATACTACATTTCCATGATAAAGCATTCATGAATAGCAACATCATAAAATAATAGGTAAAGGGAAGGTAGCAAGCACCAACCGCGAACCCAGGGGACTCGAGCAACGCTGCGGGAGCAATAATGCACGGCACGGCGACCACGGGAAGCCTCACAGCATCGACCGGCAAAGCGAGAATCGGCGTGGAGCGCGAATTCCCTACAGGCGACGCCATGGCCCCCGCCAGGAGCTGCGAGAAGGAACGGCAATCCACGACACCGTGACTACCGTTAGACAGGAAACCCGAATTCGTCGTGACAGGAATGGGGATGGCTAGGGTTTCCAGAGCAGAGGTTTTGGCCGCAGCCCCTTTCGCGGACACGGGGGAAGAGACAGCCGTGGGATCGGTCGCGGCGGAAACTGCGGCAGCTCTGGATGTGTTATCCCGCTTCTTCCGCGGCGGCGATGCAGACGGAAGAGGGGAAGGGGGTTTTTCTCCCACGTCTTCCTGCCTCCCCGTCTGCTCCATAGCCTCCGTGCTCGGCTCTTCTGCCATCGGGAAACCCGCCGGAAAGCAGCGCCGCCGGCGCCAAAGTCTCAGGTCGGGCCCCCTCTAGGGAACCTCTTCCCCTGCTGGAAGGGTTCCTGGCGGTCGGATTTCGTGCTCCGAGCACCGAGAGAACGACGACGGGGGGGAAGGTCACACTGCAGGAGAGAGAGAGAGAGAGAGAGTGGGATGGATTGGCAAAGGGGAACAGATGCGCCTCTTTTGACCAGATTTGACCAGGCGACTTGACGGCGTCAGGTGTTCCGTCCACGCAACGGCCAAGAATCTGGCCAGCGGCCGACCGCTGCACGGCGTGAGGAGCACCGCCGTCTGCGGGCCCCACCGCAGACGACGATCTCCCCCGCAATTACATCGGACGGTCGGTCTCCGCGTACGGACACACCACAGTAGCGCACCGCGGCTTTACGAGCGTTTGTATTGTCGGAATTCGGAATGACGGATTCCCGCAGTGGGGCCCGCCGCTGGAAACGGAAATCCCAGCGGAAAAGCAGGAGTACGGCCCAGCACGAAGAACGCTCGGCCCCGGCTGCACATGTTTTCCTCGCGTCTCTGACACGTGCCTAGTACACCGAGCACGTGTCAGGGCCCACAAGATTGGTTACACACGAGGGTCGGATGACACCCACTGCCACGTGGGCGCTCCCCCCATCAAGATATCGGTGCCCATTTAAATCATATAATTATTATATATCCCTTAAATTTTAAATATATATATAAAGCCTTTGAAATTGTCTGTAGCAGATCTGGCCTTTTCTTCATTTGGGCTGGAAATGTGTGCCAATATAACTTTGGGCCGAGTCCAATAAAACCTTGGACCACTAAAGCATGCGGCCCATCTACGGATCCTACTCGCTAATGGGCCGCTTCAGGGCAAATGGAATCTCGGCTCTTAATATCAATTATGAAAAGACCATACTACCCTCACTAGAGGATTTCTCATCTCAACGATAGAGAGGGGGGGGGGGGGGTTAGGTACCCACCAACAGGGATGGGTCGGAACGAGGTGTGCATAAAAGTTAATGCTTCGCTGGAGGTGGATGATGGAGGCGAAGATAAACGAGATGACTTCAACCCGCGGAAAAAGGGCGGCATTAGTGCCCGCGGTCGTCGCCGGCGGAACTTCCCGCTCCGGCGTTTCACGCAAAGACCCGGCCCGCCGCCTGCTCTCCGACACGTCGAAGTGACACATCGCCTTTGACCTGAGAGGTGTACGCTTCACTATTTTTGTTATATTTTCCGCTGTACAAAAGTCCTATCCATTACTCACTTTGGGTTCTGAGTCATTGATGGGAAGATGGAGAGAGAGTGAGAGAGAGAAGGGGAGGAGCTGGGTTCTGGGGATGACCAAAATCATAATCTGGATAATAATAATAAGCATGCAGAATTCAGTAAGTTTGTAGTCTTCCAGCTCCATTGGGAAGAGCAGTGGAAGCGTGCTGCTTCGGGAGAGAGCTTTCCAGCTTCCACCTCCATCCTGTCGGATCTCTTTTCTATTCTTTCGAGCTTCACGTCCCTCATGGCGCCACCATCTCTTTTCGAATCTCCGAAAGAGAGAGAGAGAGAGAGAGAGTCTCTTCTCCCGCCCAGCATGGGGGGCGGGGCGGCGGCGGCGGCGGCGGCATGGAACAGAACGAGAGAGGTTGAAGACGGCGGAAGAGCTGGTGGCGCCGGCTACGGACAGCTCGTTTAATGCCGTCCGTAACGAGGCAAGAGCTTTAATGGCGGATGGGAGCAGTCCCTGTGCTCACGGAGAACAACCAGCGGAGACAAGACCCACCTCATTCAAGGAGTAGGGCGCTGGCCCCCCGCCATGAATGCGACCCTTTTGGTCATATTTTTATTCTGGCTTCTTGGCCGGATCGGAGCACGCGAGCAAGACCGCGACTTTGGGTCGTGTTGTTCTTCGCGCCAGCTCTGCCACACGACTCCAAATATCTGAGTCATGCATAATTTTATAATCCGCGTTTGAATGGTGCGCGCATGTGTTTTAAATTCGCTCTCGTTTTTGTGAAGTCGGTGAAGCTGATAGATTCTAGTAAGTTATCATCCTGAACACCGGCGGCGGGATCGCCGCCGCCGCCGTTCTCCGTGTGCATTGACTTTTTTAGACAAGGAAGCGAAGCCGGAAGAACAAACATGATGAAAGAGTTTGATGGAGAAGAATACATCATCATCACCATCATTATCATCATCATCGTCGTCGTCGTCGTCGTCGTCGTCGTCACTGGTCAACGATGGGCTCGATGTCCTTGAGGAGGCCGACGATCTGCTGCATGGACGGCCGCTTAGCCGGGGAGTCAGCTGTGCAGAGGTACCCGATTCGTAGGGCCTCCTCCATCTGCTTCTCCGAACCAGTCTCACTCACCTTGGGGTCAACGGCGGCGGCGACTTCGTTCCTCTTGACCAGCCCACGGACCCAGCTCACCAGGCTGGTCTCTCCCTCCTCGTAGTCGTCCCCAAGCGGCTTCTTCCCGGTGACCAGCTCGAAGAGCACCACCCCGAACCCGTAAACGTCGGACTTCGCCGTGGCGGCGCCGCCGCCGGCGAGCTCCGGCGGCGCGTACCCCGGCGAGCCCCGCGCAATCTCCGCCGCCAAGTCGCCGCCGGCGAGCTTGGCCAGCCCAAAATCCGATAACCGGGGCTCGAAGGACGAGTCCAGGAAGATGCTGCTGGCCTTCACGTCCATGTGGACGATCTGAGGGATGCAGCCATGGTGGAGGAAGGCCAGAGCTCGAGCAGCTCCGAGGGCGATTCTATGGCGGAATCTCCAGGTCGCCTGCCCCTCGGAGGTGATGCTCTGTGCGCCGTCCTTCTTCTCCTCCTCCTCCCACGTGTCGTTGCTCCAGTCCTCCGTCGCATGAACTCCCAGCGGAAGGTCATGGAGGAGGTTCTGCAAGTTCCCATTCTCCATGTACTCGTAGATGGCGATCCTCTGGTCGCCGGCGAGGCAGTAACCAGTGAGGGGGACGAGGTTTGGATGCCTGATCCTGCCCAGCCGATCGAGCTCCCTGGCGGCGGCGCCAGAATCCTCTTCCGGCGAGGACGAGGAGCTTCGAACCAGAACCTTCACGGCGACGTGGAGGCCGCCGGGGAGGAAGCCATGGTAGACGGGGCCGAATCTTCCCTCGGCGAGCAGAGTTCCCCGGTCGAAGTGGGAAGTTGCAGAGAGGAGGTCCGCGAAGGTGAAGCTCAGCAATGGCTTCTCGAAGATGACGACGGGGACGGCGGCGGCGGCGCCGACGTCGGCGACCCAGGTGGTGGAGTCCGTCTGGAAGGAGAAGGGCCCCGAGACGGTTGTGGGCTCTTCTCTGACGGAGAGCTGCTTCGCCGCCCACCGGCGAGTCCTCCGACAACCCACGGCGAGGCAGACCAGGCCCGTTAAGAGGAAGACCACGGCCATGACGACGGCGACGGCGACGGCGAGCTTGACCTTGAGCCCCCACCGGCGGGTCTTCTCCCTCCTCTGGAGGAGCTCCGGGTTGGCGGCGATGGGGCAGTCGTTCTGAGACCCGAGAAACGAGGACCGGTAGCTCTCTAGAGAGAGCTCTGCTGAGCAGAGCGTGAGGTTGTTGAAGGAGAAGTTGAACCTCTGCAACTCCGGCAGCTTCTGCAACAGCGCCGGCGGGAGCTCGCCGGTGAGATTATTGAAGGAGAGATCCACGACGGCGAGATCTCCGGTGCCCAGATCGGGGATTCGGCCCGTGAGGTGATTCCGCGACAGGTCGAGGACGACCAGGCCGGAGAGCCGAGAGATGCCCGCATGGATGCCGCCGGCGAGCCCCGTCGCCGAGAGGTTGAGGAATTGCAGACGAGAGAGCTTCTCCAGGCTCGGGAATCTCTGCTGCGAAAACCTGTTCCTGGCCATGGCGAGGTGCCTGAGAGAGAGGCCTTCGTTCAGGTCGGGGAAGAGCTCCCCGCTCAGATGGTTCTCCGACAGATCGAGGTGCTCCAATCTGGACCAGTTGAAGCTCGAATCGGAGCTTACCGGAGAGACGTGGCCCTGGAACTGGTTTCTGCTCAGATCGATGACCCGCAGAGGGGCCTGGAACACCCCCTGGACGGACCCTTGTAGCTGGTTCCCAGAGAGGTTGAGGGAGACGAAGGAGGCCATCCCGGAGAAGTTCGCCAGCCTGCCGGAGATCCGGTTCCCGGCGAGGTTCAGCACGGTGAGGTTCCTGAGCGCAGAGCCGAGCTCCTCCGGTATCCTTCCGGTGAGCTGGTTTGACGAGAGGTCGACGACGACCAGAGACCTGCAACCGAGGAACCCATCGGGGATCACCCCTTCGAGCTTGTTCCCCGTGAGATTGAGGATTCTCAAGGCGGCGAGAGACCCCACCGTGGTCGGGATCTCGCCGGAGAAGGCGTTGTGGGAGAGGTCGAGCATCTCCAGCAACCCGAAGTTGCCGACATTGTTGGGCAGCCGCCCACTGATCTGGTTCCCGGAGAGGTTGAGGCTACGGAGGGAGCTCCCCAGGCCCCAGAAGTCCGACGAGAATCCCGTGATGTTGTTCCTGCTCAGATCCAGGTGCCGGAGCGTCGCCAGCTTCCCGAGGGTGTTCTCCGGGATCTCGCCGGAGAGGCCGGCGGCGGAGGCGGAAAGCTTGAGAACCCGCTTCCCGCTGGTGTCGCAGAAGACGCCTCTCCAGGAGCAGACCGACGGCGGGCTGTCACCTCCTTCGCCGGCAGCCGGCGGCACATCGCCGCCCATCTTTTGCAGGAAGTCTCTGACGAAGAAGCCATCGGTGTTGGCCTGCTGCGCCGCCGAGCTTCCGAGAAGGAGGGCCAAGAGGAAGGAGGAGAGGAGATGGAGACCCATTAGGGGGAAGAAGATCTGACCAGAAGGAAATGCCCTCCACGCTATGAACTGGGGGCTTTGACCTTGCACGATAATAAGACGGCGGCCGGACAGGGAGGTCGTCGGCGATGGAGAGAGAGAGAGGCGGAGGCCATGAAGGACGGCAGACAGAGGACAGGGAGGGAATCACATGAACGGCAGAGAAGATCTGCTGGCCCGCCTTCTTCTTTCTTCTTCTTCTTCTTCCCAGATCACGGAGAAGAGGGCACGGCGCAGGGGGACGACGCCATGGCAGGTGCGGGCCTTGGAGCTTCCCGAGCCGCTGTCATGAGATAACAGAGAGAGAGAGAGAGAGAAAGACCATTTTTTTCCCTCTCTTACAGACAGAACCAGCTGCGTCCAAAGAACAACTAATGCTCCCTGACGACGAGCAGGCGCTCTGGGCCTGGAACGTGAACTCTGCTTGTCCGCATATGTAACCTCACCGCTGGGCAACCCCCCTCCGCCGCCGTGCCCTCTCCGCCGTGCCCACACACAGAGCAAGAGATAGAGAGAGAGAGAGGCGGGCATAAATACCGAGAATCGGCGGAAAAGTTAAGGTAGCCCATGGGAAGTCATCACGCTCGACGGTGGGGTGTAATGATTTCTGCCGCTGGATCTTTACTGCGACCTGCTCCACCCTTTCTCCCCCCTCTTTTCGGGGATTGAGAAAAAGGAGGGATGCCTCGTCTCCGCCTCGCCCCCCTCCCTCCCCGCAACCTCACCTCCTCCTCACCCTGACGTCAAACGCCTGAGGGCAAAACCTTGACCCAGCTAACCCCGCCGCCCCCCACCCCAAAATCTACGGCTTTGACCAGGGAAACCATGAGCCTGGCCCCACCGCGAGTTGACTTATCCCGATGTGGAGAAGGTCAACCAAGCCGAAGCATTCGAGGTAAAAGCGTGCTTTTTTCTTAACTACGGAACGGGCCCCTCCATTGAATTAACAGATGATGATTAAGACACAGGTCGCACGCACTGTTTGATTCCCTCAGACAGGTGGGTGGAGCCTCTCCATTATCATATCATCTCGTTCCTCTGGGTTCCTCAGGGGAGACCCCGTCTTCTTTATCTCTTGCGAGGAGGTCGCCATGTAGGTTGTGCACGCGGGGGAACAACTGGCACTGCGGCAGCGCTGTCTCGTGGGGTTTCTCCCCACCGGCTCCTCCGTTGCAGTGCACGCCGCCTGTGCGATTCCGGCGGAGGAGATGAGCGAGGCAGGAAGGTTATCATGTGGTTGGCGCAAGCCTTGGTGGGTTGCCAACTCCTCTCTCTCTCTCGAAACTTTCTGAAAAGATGAACACGAAATGTATTGGTTTGAGTGTGTGGAGGGTTATGATTATTGATTTCCCTGGTACGTTTTTTTTTTCCCTGGAGACGACTGGTAAAACCCATTTACTAAACATAAACAAGTTTATATTTTTCTTCAATTCTGTGCACGCAGGAGTCTTCTCTCTCTCTCTCTCTCTCTCTCTCTCTCTCTCTCTCTCTCTCTCTCTCTCTCTCTCTCTCTCTCGACAGAAATAGTTGTCTAGTCTCCTTACTGAGATCGTTCCACTTGCTAGATCAGTATTTAATTATATTAAAAATAATAAGTTTGACTTCGAGCTTGAAGATTTCTCCAGAATCTCCACTCTCTCTCTAAAGCAAAAAGGCCATTGCTTATCCCTGAAGGGATAGTATAGTATTTTTACAACATCAGAAAGAATTCTATAAATGGAAATAATGCGACTCAGATTTCTTACCAACAATTTTGACCCACCTCAATAAATGTTAGGTGGGTGTGAGAGAACCCAAGGACGGTGGTTCGTGCACCCCCCCCAACACCTGGTTCTCTCTCTCTCTCTCTCTCTCTCTCTCTCTCTCTCTCTCTCTCTCTCTCTCTCTCTCGCGCTCTTACACACGGAGAGCGGTCGTGATTTAAAGCCTGTGAATCCAGCTCATCAGAAAATCCATTAATGATCATAGGGATGTTCTGAATACACCTGAGAAAGAGTTGACGTTACTGACTCCTAGTACACTCATCATTCAAAGGCAAAGCATGGGGCCCAACTGGCCAAAACCCAATTTTAATGAGGGAAGTCAACCCCTGGACTACTTTCACCAAATAAAAGATGGGCCCATGCTACAATTTTAAAGGAGGTGGATTAGTTTCTGAGGATGAAGGTCAGCGCGTGGACGGTGAAATCCGTCAATGATCATAGGGAGATCTGAATATACCTGAGATAGAGTTGACGTTATTGACTCCTAGTTCACTTTCCTCATTCAAAGGCAAAGCATGGGGGCCAACTGGCCAAAACCCGATTTCAATCAAAGAGGAAAGTCAACCCCTGGACTACTTTCATGAAGTAAAGATGGGCCCATGCTACATTTCACCGAAAAAAGTGGTAGATTAGTTTCTGAGGACGAAGGTCAGCGAGTGAACGGTGAGATCCAGTAACTTCTATTTCAAGGAGTAAGTCATGGTGAACACACAATTCAAAGTCAACCCCTGGAGTATTTTTCGTCAAAAAAATATGGGTTCATCCTACATCTTTCCTGAACAAAGAATATAAAAATTGCACTTGTTTCTGAGGAAAAAGGGTCAGCGTATGAAGAGTAGGATCCTTTTTCCTGCATGTTCTCAACTCATCAGGGTCCACTCCATGTTCTCAGACCGACCCACCACCCGCCTCATCCAGTAGCAAAGTCAGAGCTTTCCTCCCAACACAGTCCACAATAGTCCTTTCAACATTTGAACGGTCAACGGCAGATCTCTGGCTGCCGTGAAGATCAAACGGAGCAATCCGACCTGAAAAGCATCAGATCAAACCATCAGACCGACTTCAAAAAGGTAGTTGCAGCGGGGCAAGAAGTCAAACCAACTTGAGGGACCTCAGTCAACGCCTTCACACTCCCTTTGAAAGTGCCCCAGTGGCGAATAGCAGATTCCTCCGAGAAAACTGCCGGTGAGAAACCAGAGGAGGAAATCAGGATATTGTTCCTTGGAGATGCAACTGCAGATTGACTTCTTACTTACCCGCAGGTTGTACACGGGAGTTGACTTTGTGGGCAGCGTTTTCAACGACCTCAATCTGCTGCCGCTTCCAGATCTACTGTTCAGGGACGAGACTATGTGAATTTCTGCAGTGGGAGGAGAGGAGATGATAGCTGGGATGAATCTACCCTGGAGAAGGAAATCTTTCTAGGCCTACCTCTCTTCTGTCTTGGAGATCTTCGTGCTCGCAGTGACATCCCACAGCTTCACAGTGCAGTCAGCGGACCCAGAAGCAAGGAGAGTGCCTTCACAACTGCGAGCAGTCACAGAGAGGACGCCACAGTTTAGATAAGCAAGTAGGAGGGGTCAACCCTAGTAGGGCTTCACAGCATTCAAGATGAGGTTGACCAATCTTTACCTGAAAGCAAGGCTCCACACACAAGATGTATGGCCGACCAAAGGAGTGATGCACCGGCCGGTGGAGAGGTCCCACATCATGATGGAACCATCTTCGTCCCCAGAGGCCATGTATCGTCCATCGGGAGACATGGCCAATGACAGTACCATGCTTCTATGGCCAATGAAAATCCGAACGCATTCGCCGCTGTGGACATCCCATAATCTCACGGTTTTGTCACTGGAGCCTGTAGCGATGTAGTTACAGTTCGGATGCCACTGAACACACTGAATGATGAGAAAAATTTAATGGGGGTTAGCTTATGCCCTTCAGATCATGCTGTGGAGTAGCATGAGAGTAAGACACGAGCAATATTTCCTGTATAAATCCTAAGATTTGAGGAAGAAATGGGTTTTATAGAGGAGAGAGATAAATAGAGAGAGACAGACACTTAATGGATCACGCTATCAGATGCAATTCCACGAGCAAGAAATAATTTATAAACCTGAACTATATGCTTGTACTATGGTAAATAAATGCTAGGAATGAATGAATATAAGACCAAAAGTTGACTCCGTTCGGGTCACTATGGATCTGCTCAATGGCAGTCGATCTAGTATTTCATAAAACGTGTGAAGCCCAGCATCCATAGTCAAGATTATGTGGAGCATACCCATCATGAAGGGCGAAGTTTATGAAATTTCCCCAATTTTATTATTATATGCAATAGATGCCCATCGATTCCATCTACTTGTCCTCCACTCTCCATATATATATGAATAGATACACCAAAAAGGGTGTATGACAAATCATCTGGGACAGGGCCGGCAGTTTGCATTAACTTTCTAGTTTCTGCCACCTGTTCTTTTTACTATTTCTAGAATGATCACCACCATGTTGACTGTCACCACTCTTATTCATCACCACTGATGCTACGCAGCACTGTCATTGCCATCACTAGTGAACTCTTTTTTTTTTCTTCTCTTTCTCTACCCTAGGGCACAACCTCGTTTCTCTCTCCTTCCGTTCAGTTTGAAGCCTCAAAATCTCACCACCTAAGGAGGTAGAATTGGAGCACCAGGATTACATTGGAGGCTTGTCAGGGGCATATTTTATACGATTCATCATTAATAAATATAATATTGGGAAGGAAAAAAATAAATCATCTTTGACATTAGTTTCCATAAAAAACATATTTTTTTTCATTCATGTATGCTGTTAATAAGCTAACTCAAATTTCATTGCGGTGACACAAATGAGTCACAAGCAAGGTGGGAAGATTTGGCAATGAGGTACACCGATGTGCATGCCAAGCAACCATGGAAAACAATCCAGCCATGATGGACAGCTCAGTGGGTTCCCATCTGGGTCTATACAACGGTCCATAATCTTAGTGGACATGTAAAGGACCCCGGGCAGTCTAGTGTCTTTCATTTCATCCATTGCACTAGCTTCCAAGAAACAGATGATTGACCTTGACAGGATCCTCCCAAAATGCTGGATTTAAGTAGCATTCTGTGTAACTTTCGAGAACCAGATATCAATTAACCTTCACAGACAGCTAACACCCCTCCTCCTAAAATTTAGATTCCCTTTTCTTTTCTGAGGTGCATTCGAATTCCATTTAAACTAATCTGTCGTTCCATTTTCCCCTTGAATAGCATGCATTAACAATGTTCAAAGAACTTTAAATTTCTTTCACAAATGACACTTTCATTATGAGAATATTTTTATCATTATGTATTATGTTGCCATGAAACAATTCGTAACAACACGATGATAAAGAATAAAAACCATTTCATAACTTATGGACGCCAATTTAATAGTAAGCAACATTAATAATCTCAGTAATAACATTTTTATAATTCCAGAACTAGAGCCTAGTGATATAGTTCCTAAAAAGGTGCGTCATAATCGTTATCATTTCAGCTATATGTCACAGAAGCAAAAGAAACTGTGCATGGAAAGTGGCTTGAGGCATCTAAGCCTAGACAGTGCACACTAAAATAACCAAGAAAATGTATTGTTTCGATTTCATTTGAACAAGATTGAGCATAAATCAAACAAGTAAAATATGCATACATCAACGTCAGATAGATGTCCTGCCATTATTCGCAATGGCTGAATCCGATCCATCGACCAAATTCTAGCTGTCCGATCATGTGAAGAGCTGGCAAAGTAGTGTCCCACAGGGCTAAACTGACAAAAATTTAAGATAGATGTCTCAGATTTGATTCCATCAAAAGAAATCCAAATGAACAAGCTGTCTTCAGAGACACAAAATAGTGAAATATTCGACATAAAAAATATTAAGAAAAAATAGGGGATAATATAATAACTGTATAGAAAAAGGAAAGAGCGATTTGATGATTTTAATTTGTTCACGTCAAGCAGGAAGAGGTAAACTTTTTCCAGACAAATAGCTCCTTACTACCAACACAAACATTTAGCAAGTGTCATTTCCCATTCACACTACTAACAGAAAAGCTAGACATAAAAATATCATTTCAGTTGTTGTGGTAAAACTCCTACGTAATATTTTTGCACATTCTATCAGATGTAGTTAAATTTCCAAGATTCAATCCATGTGTTTGAAAAAATCATTTTCAACGTGACATAAATATGAATATCAGAGATTCAGTTTGAAAAAAACAATTACTAGAATCCTAAATATGATGATAACAATAACAAAAAACCCTTACTAGTTAGGATGAATAATTAGTATAATCCGCACAGGCCTTCAAGAGGCGTGCGATTTTCATCTTGAATATGCACGCATCACATACAATGATAGGTATCAAGATTGTAGCAAACTATTCCTCAGATCAAAAGGGTTCATATCCTTCGGAGATACACATCCTAACCAAACATTCTGCAAAGCCACAAAGAAAGTCCTCAGGGGAAAATCCGTGTAAACACGTTTTAATATTTCAACCTCCGATTGCCATATTTTTTTACATAACTTAGGTTTTCTCACCATTGAGAAACCAGAAAGAAACAGAAAAAACTTCTGTTTGGACACTTTCATAGCACTTACCATATAATGAATCGTGTTTGATTCACTCAATTACTGCAGCATGTATAATGTACAAGAAGAACTTCCAAAGGAATCACTTTTAGGCACAAGATATACAAACAGGTTTTCGAAAAAAAAGTTGAGGTTAGAACTAATTATGGCTTCAGTCCCCAACTGTTCTCAAAATTTGAAAAGGAAAACGTTAATTGCAGATAGCACAATAAGTTGGGCATAACAAAGTAGATATTAGGTTAATATAAAATTGCCCCATATCGTGACATGCATACTGCTACTATGATCCCCATGATCTAAGAACATGACAAACAAGATGATAGAGATGTCAGGCCGTGAGAGTGAGAGAGCGAGAGAGAGAGAGAGAGAGAGAGAGAGAGAGAGAAGAGGGAGAGAAATTAGGGGGTGGGAGGATGGAGTTTCTAATCAGCCAAAAAACGAGTGAAGGCCAAATAAGCCGCGCCATTTCCAGGGCCCTGATCCACTGACTAGTAGTCTCCATGACCCCACTGTCCACCTATCTTACGTTTTCTTATATTACCTCTGAGTTTCACCTGTTTCTCTTAGTTTCTCCAGGATCTATAATCTCGAATTGGAACTAGTTCAGTTTGGGCCAATTTAGGATCAGATCCACTTAAATGGTCAAAATATTGCCTCCCAACTCAGGACCAGGTTAAACGAAAGAAATTGGAGACAAATTTAAGCGACCCCCAAATATCAAGTAATTGGAGAAAGGCAAACAGAATGCATCCAGAACCATACTTCTTATTTGCAAAAGGTTTACAGAGAGAAAGCTGTCATCTAATCGTTTCATCATGTCTCACACTGATCATTGCAAAGGAAAGACATCCATCCAAGGGTACCGAAAAACTTCCATCATCTCACCTGAACATCCCACACTGGGTAATTATGCCCCTTGTAACAAACAAGATTTGCGTTTAATTTATTGCTCCACAGACGAACTGTCATAAAAGCACGAGAGCTTATGTAGTACCGTGAAACGTACAACAAATTATAGAGAATAAAAAGAAAAAAAATGGGAAGAAAAGTACTAGTTGCATCTGATGAAGAAGAAAGGATATAATCTCCTCTAGGACTAAATGACGCAGCATACACAGGACCAGCATGACCCTGAAACAATGTATACGGCTGTTTCCTCTCATCTGATCCCAGAACATGTCCATTCAGAGAGGGCTCATTTTCTCCCTGTGTGTTTACTGAAAATACAAGAAAAAAATTGCAACCTTAGAGCATATTTAACAAAATTTCTCTTTGCTTCAGAAAAAAAATCAAGATTATCTCTTTAATGCATGTAGAAAATACGAATAACCATCACCTATTCACAGGACAAATCACTGTGCATTATCAGATATACTACATTGAAGAAAACGTTGATATTGGTTTTCTTCGTAACTATCTTTGATGGAATACTGTCTCTTGAATTTCTTTAAAAAATTTAGGATAGGTCGTTGAGAGAAAAACTCCAATCTAATTAATAGCACACAAATTCGTTGGAACAAACACTGAATTTATTTTAGCGTTTGGAATGTTAATTGGCAACTGAATAGCCCGAAAAACTTTGCATGTGATGTACTTCTATGCCAAATTACTCCAGGGAACAAAACATACTGGGGGCGGAGAATAATCCAAATACAAGACAAAATATTCCAAAGGAAACCAAGTGGATTGACCTGTATATCGTCAATCAGGACGGGCACAATGTACCAGGTAATCCTGGTGAACTCAACTCCGCCTTTAAAAAAATTTCGGATATCAGGTCATATGCAGCCACATTATTAGAAACATAATTTCCTTCTGATTCTAATTATTTAATTCAGAATAGTGCAGGGTATCAGAAAACGTGTTTAATTTATGCACCCCTGCTTTGGGACTTCCACGTGAGTACTGGAAAATGGCTGATGAAAATCATGTCAATTGATCAAAAGTATACTGGATCAATCAAATCCCGTCCAGTCTAAGCCACTTTGAAAATCCCCGCGTCATTCATGGATAAAATCGTCCAGGTAAAAAGGGACATAAGAACTAGGAACAGAGATCAGTATCGTTATTTTAGAAGTGTTTTCTGAAAGAAAATGGCGCAATCACAACTGGAAATCTCAAACGTTTCACTTGGTTAAACCACATTCTTAGACAAATGTAGCCATAAAAAGTCAGCTGGATAATGATTGTAAAAGTATCTTCAGAATCTCATTCGAGTTAGCATTAAAAAAAAAACCAGCAAAGTCAATATTTGTCCCATATTTACTATACCCTTTTCCCCAGCATAACATACAAAGCTAAGAACAACGAAAAATAATACTACATTCACTCAAACGACAACACACTTCTCAACGAATAGTCATTTGGTCATATGCACCAAACTGTTCTCACCATACTGCCACAATTAATGTCAACATTCAAAACTTGTCTTAAATCCATTCCAACATCAAAGCTTATTGAGCTTAGGTAAACACATAATGCGCCTATAGCAGAAGACTGCTCACATATGTAGCGTCTGGAACAACCCTAAGACCTTTGTCCAAGGCAAATGGCAAAATAAAGAATGTGAGTCCAGCTCTAGAATTCATGTAGGTCCTAAAATAATGGGCCTGGAGCTGGCCAAAAAAAGAGGTAATTAGAAGTGCAATAAACGAAAGATAACAGATGAGGGCATTTTAACACATACTGGAGCCAGCTTGTTGCCCAATCTTTGACATATCCCAGACCTGTGAAGATCAGAGAAGGTAATCGACCAGAAAAAACTTTAGAAGTAGTAGGAAAAGTAAGGATTTGCAAAAGATTAAACCAAAAAAAAGAAATAAAACACCCTAAGGAGCCTACAGTAAATTCAGATAAACTGTACCTTCAATGACGAGTCAGAGAATCCGCCAGCAACCAATGCTCCGTCGTGCGAGACAGCAGAGCAGTTTAAGCTAGAAATAAACGTTGAATTTTGCATTAGATAATGTAGAAAACATCTGTGTTGCTACATAAAGATGCGAATATAGAAGCCAAGCAAGGCATCAGTAAAATTGTAAGGCAGTGTACCCATTATGAGTGTTAATGAATGTGTAGAAACTGACAGAAGGCAGCGCCAAGCTGCTTATCTGTACACGATTTCGTAAGTCCTCAAGAATAGACTGTTCTTCGTCTGGTGGCCTGAGATAGTGAACAAAAAAATATATAATTCTAGAATGGCACTCCATTAATAAAAAATGAATCACTCCACCAAGACAAGATAGAGCAAATGATAAGGCCGTCATCGCATATGCTGATATGCACAACAATGTTTCCAGAGGATCACAATACTTTGATCACTTTTTATTTCAACATTAAAGAGATACCTCTCCCAGGTATTTGAAAGTAAGCATAGCCATTTTCGCACAAGTTGCGATGTCAGATACTATTTGGCCAAAATCATTTCAAAATGGTGTCTAGTGAGATGGAAAATGGTATTAAAATCTTCTTCTACAGCAGAAACTAAAATTTAAGAAAAGGTAAAGACCCTTGGGGTACAATAAAATAGACAAGGGAACCAGGAAGAGAGAGAGAGAGAGAGAGAACTACAAGAAACACAAGAAAGAAGCGACGTGACATGACAAGAATAGAAAGTACAAAAGTTATCTTTCTTTAACTCACGCCAAAAAGATGAGTGGATTTTTCTTTTTCTACAAATCAACATTTTATCTGTTGAATTCAACTCAAATCAGATCTTCAAGCCCATGAATCCTCTGAATATCATGAAACTTGGCTTTACATCTTCACTTCCTTTTTCATGAGCGAGCAATGTTGACAAATATAAGAAGGAAAGTAATGATGAGGACAAACATTTCCACTTCTCAGCAGTCCTTTTCTCTGTACTTTCTAGTGAAAAAAACAGTAAGAAATAAACAAGTGAGACATACATTACAGGCAATTTGAGCTCAGGTTTCACACGAGGAGCAACAGAGACAGTGGTTGTCTCGGATCGCACATTTTTCCCTACTGCACCAACCACCTTGTCCTTTTTCATCTTTTTGGCAGAAGCACCCTGTTTATTCCCTTCAACGGGCCTTTTCTGTAAAGAAAATAAGTAGAAATAGCATCAGTCAACAACAATCTTCTATTCACATGATCTGAATGATAAATGCTGCCCAGCCTAAGGATCTTTAAACATCATAGTAAGCATATCATCCCAATAACTACATCCTCAGGGAAAAACTGGAAGGAAAACGATGCGCAGAACCAGTGTTTAAAACAGACTCGATCAACATGGACTTTAGCTTCAACTGGGAAACCCTGAAAACCAACCAGATCAGAACCTATTCATCCAAATCCTGCAAGTAACGCGAGTTGGAACAATGCACGTTTGACTATTTTTTTTAAGGCTTTTATAAGCACAAGAGATTTTCAGGGGACTGGGTCATTTTCAAGGGCTTTTTGTGGTTGAAAGTCCCCTGAAAATAGGTTGGAAGATGAAAAGAAAAAGGGGGAAGAAAAGGACGAAGAAGAAACGAACAAACGAATTGGTGCCTTAGCCCGTGACCTCAACCCCTTGTAATTGGCATCTGGAGTAGGGAAAGTGGTTGAAAGTTACTTTTGTTATAATTCCTCATTGATAACACTCATTCGCATTATAATGGGAATTTCGCAAACAATAATTAACAAAGCTATACAAAACCCTTCAACTTAAAAATACTATTGTTACACTTATTTGACTAATAGGAGTGGATTTTCCAAAGGCCCAGATTTCCCAAGCCAATCCTGAGCCTGACATTTTATTAAGGCCCCAACACCCCTTGGGACCAAAAGAAAGTCCATGGAAAAGGACTCCGATGAAGAGCAAACCCAGTACAACAAATGTTATGGATACAAGATGAACGATCCACTAATAGAGGACAAAGGGAAGGAGGGACAACATGGAATCTTCCTGCTGACAGTCCCCACTTGTCCGTGAATTTCTAACCTGGAACAACAATAAACTATACATGGCCAAATACCCGCCAGGCCTGACAAAAGGGCCCCGAGACAGATGACCCAATCAAGAAAATGGAGGGAGATGGGACGAGACAGTGGATCCATTACAACTGAACAGAGGCAAGGCGAGGAATGGAATGGAGGTGTAGAGAAGGAAGAGAATTAAAATAAATAAGAGGTATGTAAAAGTTGGGTGTCTAGATGAAATGGAATGGTACATATCCTAGTTGGGAGAGGTAACGATAGAATGACATTGATGGAGGAGAAGAAGATAAGAGAAAACCTCTTGGGTCAATAGGAAGGATGCATCTGGCCTTCCAGGCCGACCTTATTATCTAAGGTTGGACCCAGCAAAAATCTTATTTGAGACGGGCTGAGTCTAACAACGTATCCAGACATGATTCTTAAACTCAGACCCAGAATAAAACTGTCCTAAGTTATGCTGGGGTACGTCTAATGGTTGTCATAAAATGATTGAGGTGCAAGACGTGCATGTGGGGAAGTATAATCACACGGTGAGCTCAACAGACAGACGCCCAAGTCCTCCTTGGTTTAATACAACGATGGAACTGCCAACTGCACTGATCCTCATTATTAAAGGCCTAAATCCCATCCACGGCCTTTTCCAGTCCATATTCAGTTCAAAAAAACTATGATTTCAGTCGCCTTCACTCATCTACATCGTGCGCCCTTATCTTGATCTTGATTTTGATCTTTCCTTGGATCACATTGCTCTGGAAAGAGACCTTACAATAAGTACAGACCTGGCACATTCTCAAGCTTTGTTTGCATCATTCCCATGACTTTGCCATTGTTGTCTTCTTATCTGAGGGGAAAAAAACGATTCGGATATACATGCTAAAAAACTTTTAGTTATTATTCAAATTTAAATTTATATAAAAAATATAATTTATAATATTAATTTAACAAAAACAAATAAAATATAAATACAATATAAATTGATAAATGGAAGAAGTCTATAATCTAGAAATAAATTAAAAAAAATCTTAGGAAAGTTTATGCCAATAGCTTTGTTTAAAAAATTGACCTAAAAGATACAAACCATTTAGAAAAATCCGCCCACCAATTTGCTCTAAAATTGGCCGCAGGGAACAAACGGTGGCAAGAACAGGTGATGATGAGACATGGTTTTCCTCGTCTCACATATTTTTTCTTATTTTCTTCTTCTCATAATCTTCCTCCTCCATCCCCAGGCAGTGGTTTAATCCAGATGCCCATACTAGAATCAGGTGAACCCTTCTTCCTTTTCTAATCATATTATCCTGTTCGAGTTCTATTTGTGGCATATATCAAATCCATGGTGGATTAAGCAAATCCAAGTGAGATCACCCGACTGCATGCCATTTCTTTCTTTTCTTTTAATTTAAAATCGGTATAGGGCTTTCCCCTTTGATCACATGACTGATTCGGCAAGTCATGACTAACCTGTTTGGTTCCCTTATTCAAAGATACCCAGAGAAATGTAGTTGCCAAGGTGTTAAAACCTGTACCACATTCTCCCATATTGTGCAACTGACTCCAAAAATATATGCTTGAGAGGTACCTCTCTGTAATGAATATATTTCCTCCCATTTGCTTCGACATAAACAGCACCACATTATCATCTAAAGTTCCAAAAAACTGATCCATACATGACAGAGACTTCGTATCTGGAGGATTGATACGCCACACCCTTTCCACATAAATACATATCCATCCGTTCTTCTCTGATCACCATCCTCAAACTTCAAAGCTTTACAGCCCAACACATTCAGTAAATACGTAGTCAACTGTGAAGGTCTTCCTACAAAACCTAACCATCCAGGGACTGAGCAAAGAATAACCTTTAAAGTCGTCCAAAACATTACCTTCCTGTCCTGCACCATGCAATGTAACATCAAAGACATTATACCTTTGTGCCTATTCACACCAAATGTTCCTCTAAAATTTGCTGTTCCCACCATTAATATTCACAAAGATATTCACTTTCACAGAACCTGCATCTTTCAGTAGACTAATCCAGGCATGAAAAAGAATAAGTGGAAGTATTGGATCGTTACATATAATGCTTCTCAACCTAGACAATAGACATCTAAAAAGTTAATCTCCAAACCGAGACATAATACCATATTAACCCGTGTAACTACGAACAAGAACTTGCGTTAAGGAACACCAGTCTGCTTAAATCTGGTTTGAGATACTGAAAAATTTACAACACTTACATACACATCAGGAACAGAAATGCATCGTAAAACTTTTTTCTTAAGGTTCTTCCTTACCTTGTCTTCCCCATCAGCCTCCTTATTCTCTCCATCCACTTTCTCTGAATCTGAAAGTAGACCCCCATGCTTCTCAAATCGTTCTTCAATGGAATCCTCGAGCAACTGTTAAGGAAACGGGTGTACTCAAATTTTTAAAATCCGAAAGGTAGAAAAATCCATCAACTCGAAGCACTAATTCATATAAAAGAATACGAAATAAAATATCACAATAAAAGGTGTCATACAGACAAGAACGTGTTCCACAATAAAAAAGAAAAGCAACGAACAACTCTTCACTAGTATTTTACTGGAAAAGCAAGTTAGTATCCAGAGTTTCCTGAGATTCAGTAGACTCTATTGAAATGGTAGAATAGAGTGAGTGAGAGAGATAGAGAGAGAGAGAGAGAAGGAAAAATTTAACAAGAAAATACAGACCCCCCCCCCCCACCCCCACCTTACAACAATGTGTTAGATCCCCAGCATAGCAGACAAAAAAGGATGCAAACTAGTAAAATTTTGCTTCGATTTAGATCTAGCGGTTTTTTACTTTACAATTCGGAGGCAGGCTACCAACCATTACTCACCCCCCAATGCACTTCTTTCTGATTAACTTGTTTGGCAATATCCTGACTGCTTCCAATAAGAGATACCGCATCGGCATCATCAGAAATAGAGCTCGGATGTCCAGGAGAAACTGCCAAGATATCAGTAACGGAAATAGAAAATAAGATTTAAAAGTGTAGAAATGGGAGAACAAAGGAAACATATGTACTCGTATTAGAGATCAGAAGGCATTTACCTTTGAAATTAATATGCTCATTAATTATCCCAAGCATTGTTAAGGATTGTGTCTTCTGGAGATATTGCAGAAGTAACTCATATGAATACTGCAGTTCAAAATAGGCCCTCATTAGCTTTTAAGAGTCTTGTGAACAGGAATCTGATTATGCTTTCACGAGGTAAGAGTTGTTAATAATAACTAATGAAGCATTCACATGACAAATGCACTTCATTTCTAGACCCAAGGCATCAAATAGAGAATTGTGAATGAAACAAATTCACAATTTGTATCATTCACATTTCTAGACACAATTTTATTTTTTGAAAGTGGATGATACAAATTCACTAGCATAAAAAGAAGATATAAGGATTTATAGTTGAATTCTTTCACCTGAGGATGAACAAGGAGGAAAACGCTTAACAATTGAGCAAGGAGAAACACCCACCTAAATATATGATCATCCAAAGGCCCAAGTATTGGAACTGCCCCCTATTTTTGTTTGAAATTTAGCTCTTCATTCAGACGAAAGTGGCTTAAACGACAAAGTTTACGCAAAATAATGTTTTCCAATAAAAGGTAATTAACAACTTGACAAATGGTCAATGAATGGACATAGAATCTTCCCGATAGAGATGTCAAATTGGCATACCATTAACCAACCCAGCATATATACAGTCGTATATTCTTCTGTTTAGAATGTCTAAGTTAAACTGGCATTTTTCAGTTTTTATAAAGTATACATCCAGATATGCTACTCGACTGGTTAATGATAGAAAAGGCTCTTCTTTCCTTTCTTGTCCAAGGAGAAGGGCCACGGACTTCACATAATATATGTCATCTTACTCCAAAAAAAATGACATCAAAATGATTTCTCATCACCCACTCGTAATGAAAATTAAGCTAATGAGAAACAACAGTAACCTGACACAATTTTATGTTCACTTTGCTCTGCCTCAAAGCACAAGCAAACTCCATTTCCTGCAGTTATGCCAAAAAAAAATGTCAACAGGGGACGGGTATGAATAGAAAACACCAACAAATAAAATGGAAACTGAACAACAACCTCCAAATGTGAGGGAGTGAGTATGCCTTCGAACTTTTGAAGGTCTCGTTTATGCATCATCTCATGGTCATCACGGAAGCAATTAAAAAATCTCCGAGCTGGAAATTCAGAGTAACGAATGGCCTTGTGAGTGGAATTATTGTACAACTACTTACAGACTCATAAATAAAACTAGATCAACACAAGAGGGACATCCTACCTTCTTGCACATACCCTTTCGCAACAAGGTCCATAAAACAATGAATGAATACTGGATATAGAACACGCAGAAGCTCATCCTGAGGACAATATAAATTCAGGATTACTTGTACCGGGAGTTGATGATGATAAAAGACGAAAAACAAGGGAATTATCAAAGGCAATAGCATTTATCGTTGTTTCTTCATTAACTAAATAATAGGATGAAATAAATGTGCCCAATTTTTTTCTAAAATTTCCTGATACGATCGCAAAACATGATCAAAATATTGCTCACATTAGAAATATCAAATGAAGGAGATTAAAATAGTAACGAGCTTCCATAAATCTAAAGAAAGAGGCCATACAAGACCAAATGCGTATGAAATGAATACTAATAAATAGCCATGCATTATTTCAGAAACCCTTGTATCCCCAAATATTTGGGGAATAAAACAATATTTTTATTGTGATTTTTCAGGAATAAAAATTTACGCATCAACTCAGACCAGAAAGTTTCCGATTATTTAACCCCTTCATGTAGAACTCGGGTATCCAAAAAAAATTAACTGTGAATGTTTATATCAAAGCAAGTTCCATACAATCCTACAACTACCCGGCTTCAATCCCCCCCTCCCCCCCCCCAAAATGGTTCTGTAACAACTTAGATACCAACATGCCCTCCTAATCCCCATGGTCCAGTTGCAACTGAAGAAAAATATTTCTGGTATATACCAATATACAACTAGATGGGTTTGGAAGAAGCCTTACTGATTGCATGAGAGGCTGCCTGACTGCATGGAATTTCCTTGGAGAGGCTGAGAACCGCACTCTCAGGCTATTTCTAGAAATGATGGTATTTAAAATATGGTATTTTTGGAGTTTGACATTAAACATTACTTTCTGAGAAAGAATGTGATATGAGGGTTGATGGTTAGTTTGGGTGTTAGGATTGCGGAATTCAAGCGAATATCGTTGAAGAATGGATGGGCTATGATGGCTTCTCGCTCTCTCTCTCAAGACCCAGACCCCCACTGAAGGCCTTGCTCACAACACAGAGCCTCTATTCCCATAGTTAAGAATAATTTAGTTAAACATAATGAATTACCTTGTATAAATCCAATGAGCTATAAGACCATGTCCTCAGTTTGCTGTAACCTTCATGGTATCGCAAAGGCCCATCGCCAGACCTATCATAAAGGCCATAACATGACAAAATGAGTTCACAGCAAAAGCCATGCAACAGAAAAATATATCTCATCTGAAAAAGAACAGATTTTCAGCGTTAAATATTCCGTGAGGACGTCACAGAGAGATAAGCTTCCTATTCAGAAATTTTTCGTTACTCCTTATTTTCATTACGTTTTAATGTATTTTTTCGCTCCATGATCAACTTATAAAAAATGTTGCCTGTCCCTCAGCAGCCATCTTTTTCGCAAGAGATATCAACACCGACCAGAAATCAATGTAAATAATTCCAAGAAGGCGGGTGAAAAACTAATAGCTCACGCAATCCCCTACCAACCAATCAATTGCTCAAGTGTTGAAATGATTTATGATCCTCCGAACGGCTTTCAGTTGTCCTTCAAGTCCACCACTGAGCCAAAATGGCCGACTTGTACCCAAAATTAGCAAGCGTGCCAAATGAGAAAGAAGGGAAAACTAAAGGAGTACCCCGAGAACATCAACAAAACCTTTGTATAGGAATCCACAAATTATTGTTCATCTGTACTCTTCAATAAAATGCATCCTAACAACGTCAACGGGAAGTGAAATTCCGAAGAAATATTCCTTTTCACCGCACCAGAGTGCGTCAGTGAGTGTTCCTCACACATCTAACGGTGGCACCTATCAACTACACGCATATACCTATTGAACGACACATTTGCCAAATTTTGCTTTCGATACCGTCCGTCCCCTTTGATTAAAAACGTCACTGTGAGTCCTAGCATTGAACCGTAAAAAGCACATTCCTTCAATGGGTGCGATAGATATTCAAACAATTCAGGAAGTTTTGACAGCCCAGAATCTTTCATTGGCGCGAAAATTGAATCCGCACCTACAATTCTTGGTATATACCAAGAAAGAGTGAGGATCGTAGAAAATCACAGTCCCAATTGAATGATTCAGAAGGGCAGTGGACAACGCCGATACTCACGTGGAACCCTCAAACGGCAACTCGGCCGCGGAAAATCCACCGAGAGCATTCCGAAGAAATTAACGACGCTTAGCGGAGAATGTGACGACTTACTCGGCAAAGGTGAGGATCTGCTTCGCGATTTCGGGGTCGGACCTGGAACCAACCGAGGAGACCCGGTTCTGCTCTTCTTGCAGCACCCGCTCCGCTTCCTTAAAACCCTTCTTCCTTAGATAGGCCATTACGGCCTTGTCGATCTCCTCCTCATCCATCTCCTTCCACGCAGGGACAACGCTCTAGGGTTTTTCCTAAGCTTCGCCCTGCTCTCCCGCCCAGCACCTCCGCGAGCCAATTCCCTCGCACCGATGCGTATAGCGCATCAACAGTGTAAGAAGTCTACTACTACAGAAGTTTACATTTATATCCCTCTCACATTAATATTCCACTTTATATCCCATATACGTATTTTATTTACACCACGATCCTCTATAGCGTTGAGATGCCTCAAATGGGACAAAAAATATGATGTAGCCTATAATGTGTAGAAGAAGTAAGAGAAGCCCAACACTAGAGGCCCAACTGCTTCAACAATGGGCCGCAAATATGAGAAGACTGAGACTAGGCCCAAAAACGTATTGGGCCCGAAGTAAATGAGCCCAATTTTCATGCAACCGAGTGGCGTCATTCCGTATTTCACGTGTCAATACATTTGCGGTTGTTAGGAAACGCTGATCGGAGTCGCTCTGACAACTCGTTATGACTCACGTGACACAGCCGGGTCGACGTCGGGGCTGAACTCGGTCACACGTGTCAGACATTTATTTTCTATATTATTTATATACATGGCGGGAATCTCGAAGCGATATCGGACAAGTCGCACGATTAACTGTCGGAAGCTGCGAGAGGACGAGCTTCCCTGAGGAGGAGGGCGGGGAGTCCAAGGAGAGAGATCAGCCGGCGGCGGCGGGGGCCCGGTGGCGGCCGAGGGAGGCGCCGCCGCCGAGGACGATGTCCTCGATTGCGGGGCGGAGCTCGTTGTGGCAGAAGCTGCGGTACTCTGCCGCGTCGCCGCCGTGCCTCTTCACCTTCACCACCAGCACCGACGGCGCCGCCACGCCGAAGATCTCCGCCTCCACCGAGAGCCGCCCTCTCCGCCCCGACTGCCGCCGCTCCATCCTGATCCCCGTCTCGCACTTGCTCACATGGAAATCCCCCGAGGTCTCCGCCGCGGCGCGCTCCAGCCTGGAGATCACATCGCTCGCCGCCGCCGCCGTCACGAATCGCATCCCGTCCTCTCGCTCCGCCACTTCCCCGCCGGCGCCCCCGTCCTCGAACAGGGCAGAGAGGTCGAATCCCGGTGACAGGGAAATGATGTGGAAGGCGTTGAGGCTCTCCGGCTGCGCCTTCCCCCATCTCTTGCCGACGCAGTCTTCCTTGTCGTCCTCCACCGGTGGGAGTCGATCGGCGGGACTCACAGACCCCGGGATGGACGACTTGAACCAGCGCGTTTCCAGAAGCTTCGCCACCGTGATTCTGGTCTTCGGATTGGGATCGAGCAGCCTGGAGACCAGGCGGCGGGCCTCTGGAGAGAACCACGGCGGGCACTGGAAGCTTCCACGCTGGATCTTCCTGTACATGGCGACGATGTTGGCGTCCTGGAAGGGGAGGAATCCCGCGAGCAGGACGAAGAGGATGACGCCGCAGGACCAGAGGTCGGCCATGGCGCCGTCGTAGCCTTTCTTCCCGAAGACCTCCGGTGCCACGTAGGCCGGAGTACCGCAGGCAGTGTGGAGGAGGCCGTCGGAGCGGAGGTGGTCGGCGAAGGCGCTGAGACCAAAGTCGGCAACCTTGAGACGTCCAGCGCCGTCGAGAAGGAGGTTCTCGGGCTTCAGATCCCGGTGGTAGACGCCGCGGGAATGGCAGAAATCGACAGCGGAGATGAGCTGCCGGAAGTACTCGCGCGCGACGTCCTCTTTGAGGCCGCCATGTCGGGAGATCTTGGAGAAGAGCTCGCCGCCGCGGACTAGCTCCATGGCGAAGTAGACCTTCGACTTGGTGGCCATCACCTCGTAGAGCTCCACGATGTTCGGGTGAGTAACCATCTTCATCACGGCGATCTCCCGCTTCACCTGCTCCATCATCCCGGCCTTGATCACCTTCTCCTTGCTGACCACCTTCATGGCTATGCTCCGGCGGCTGCGGATGTCCCGCGCGAAGTAGACTTTCCCGAAGGTGCCATGGCCGAGGAGACGCCCCATCTCGTACTTGCCTTGGAGGACAACAACCTCGCCACCGGAGGACACCGATGGAGACGAGACCTCCTCCATCGCCGACGAAGCAAAAACCAGAGGAAACGAAGAAGGATAGAACCTCTCTCTGCTCCTATAATCCGATGAAACAGCAGCCCGTCCTGAGATCAGACTCTGATCTCCTCATGCCGCTGCATTCCCAAGCGAGGAATGGCCACACGACGAAGAAGACGAAGATGGCGACGGTAGCAACCAGTAGTGCTCCTCTCTTCCTCCTGGCTTCCGCTCATGGCCGTCCGCCCTCTTACTTATAAGCCGCCAAGAGAGAGAGAGAGAGGTTCACCAATCGGTCGCGGGCAGGGGGGAAACGTGGCAGTTTGATGAGTGTACCGCGAGCGCGGGCCCACCACCTCGGAACTCAACGCGAACCCACAGACACCGCGCGGAGCTGGGAACTAATACGTTATTTTTGTGTTTAAATTTACATAATATCAATCACATTATCCGTATATTTATATACGAGAGCGGATTTTTGTGGCCTTTCATACCACGCAGAGGAGAGGAGTTTAAATCAACAGAGATATTAACTCGATATGTTATTCATAAATAATATAATTATCGGTAATATCAATTAACGAATAAAAAAATAAAATAAGGACCAGACTGAGCCCCTTGACTCAGTAGAGTTGACCAGCCATACAATCCACGGCAGCTCACCTTTGCCGAGACGTGGCGCCCGAGGAGTTGTCGGGCGGCCATTTGTCGTTCGCAAACGGCTAGAAAGGCGGACCGTCCACGTGCCAGTAATAGCTTGTAGTTCACACTGCCTCGATCACTGAGCATCTTTGGCGTCTAAGCCGCGTGAAGATTGTTCTTCTCGCGCTCATTGGACCTCGCCGCCACGTGGCTTCTTAAACTGGACGATGCAGACGACCTTTGTACCATGCAGGGGAGGGAGAGAGAAAAAGAGAGGCGCCTGCGGCGTTATCTCCCTGCTTCCTGGGTTCGAACCAAGTGGATGAGAGAGGACCTCCTTCCACCTCCGGATTTCGGCGGATTCCGGCGCAGGTGGGTCCTCTCTCTCTCTCTTCTCACGCCATGAATGAAGGAGAACCACTCATAGAGAGCAAGCAGACTCATCCAAGAGAGCTAAATAAGAAAGAAGATAAGTGGGAGATAAAAAGAGCGAGAGAGAGAGAGAGAGAGAGAGAGAGAGATTCATTCATTCATGGGGATGGCGGGTTATTGGGCTTGGCGACGGGGAAGTCTTCCTCCGGCAGCCTGCGCCAGAGGTAGTGAGCGGCGTCGACCCAGCGGGGGTTGACCAGGAACTTGCCGCGCCGTTGGGCCCAGCGGGACTTCTCCGTGCCGGGGTCCACCGAGATGATGTGGGTCACGGTGGAGTCCACCTCACCGCAGCAGCTCGCCCCCAGTCGCTCACACAGCCTCCAGATGGCCTGCTCTCGCGGCGCCACGTTGGAAGGGAACAGCCCACTGAAGACCACCCGGCACCCGGCCAGGACTTCCCTGCGGATCCTCCCCAGCACCTTCTCATCCCCAACCGAGAGAGAGAGAGAGAGAGAGAAACAAAAAATAAAAAAAAACGATGGGCTTTCAGACATCAATCACAGGAAAAGAAAAAATGACGCAAGAAATCACCTGTCGAACGTCGCCGGTGGCAGCATCGTTTTCGTTGACCTGACGGGAGAGAGAGAGATCAGGATCAGAACACCCCAAGCAAAAGTCAACGCGAGAAGGGTTCGCTGACCTCGTCGAAGAAGGCTCGATGAACACGCCGGAGGACATCGAGAACGGTGGCGAGTATCCCATCCGACTCCCTCTCGTCCTTGTTGAGCTCCGACAGAGACTTCTCGGGGGAGTTGAACTGGCGGCAGCTCGAGGAGAAGAAATGGTACCTCTCCATCAAGATCAGGTTCTCCCTGTGCTTCTGCCACACCTGCAAACACGCGCCCCATGAACACAAAACAAAGGTCAACGCCCACCTGGGCCAAAACCCGAGTCGAAGATCACCATTTCCGTGTCGTCGAGGATGAGGACGGTGCTCTCGGCGCCGAGGATCACGTCGAGCCCCTTCTGGTGCCGCTGGGTGCAATCAGACTGAGAGATGACCTTGGAGTTGAAGTATACTCTCTCGGGGTCGAGAACTCTGGCCACTTCCAGAGCATAAGAGCGCTCGCCCATGGTGTAGATGTACATCTCGAAGAGCTTGCTCGCCTCCTTGAGGAACGTGTGGACGAATGGCCTCAGCTTGGTCAGCATGTGAATGGCCTCCAGTCTGAAGAGGGTTCCGCCGGTGCCGTCTAAGAACAGGAGAAAATATATATATAATATGGGACAAGATCGATCGAGATCAGCCCAGATATCATCTCTAATCTCGGTTCTGATCATGGCCGAGATGTTAATCTGTGATTGCAAATCATTTGGGCATCACCATGCAACGAGGATCATAACCACAAATCATGAACAGGTCTTCATGAAATGCAAGCTAATTTGCTTAAAAGGGAAAACCTAGGAACCCTTTTGCTGTCAGAGGAGACTGGAATCGAGCATGGCCTCGTGCTGACTATTAATTTATAGAAAAAAACCCGTGATCCTGGGTAGAAAATCAAAGAATTGCTAATTGAATGATTCCAATGAATGCAATCACATCCAAAACAAAAACAAAATATCTCAATGCGAAGGACTTTTGGTGGAAGTTGTTTTGTGTAAAATGATGATCTTGAGGAAAGTAGCTACCAGATGTAAAAGAAATGCTCAGAAACGAGCATAGACGTGACTGATTAGGATGAAATCCTGCGCTTACTCACTGAGCAAAGACTTATTACATGATATAATGATGAATCGAATGCAAGAGGGATGAGCCACCTCGCCGATGGCATGGATAGAGATACCTTGTGTAGTAGTAGTATGCGCCTGCTGAATCAGATGTTGTTCTTCAAAAGAAACATCAACTAGACGGGTTGAATTGAGGAGGGTGTGATCCAAGTCCAAAACCAGGATTAGTTTCTTCTGACGCAAAAGATTCTTCAAGTCAGCCCCACGTAAACGGTCGATTTCTGCTGAACCCAACTTTAGGTCCTGCAAATACCCCAGATTAAGAGAGAGAGAGAGAGACATCAAAATGCAACTACGGCTCTGTGAGAACTTGCTGCACATGAAGGAGCAAGTTTAAAAACCAGCCAAATACGCCTCACCATATGTCTGCTGATTCATGCGAAAATATTTAAATGACGATCTAATCCTCCTATTCCCATCGATTTAAGCCCCAAAAAAATGAATTCGAACCAGCAAATTTATTTCTATCCTCCTCTATCCGGGGTTTGCAAGATGAGGATGGTATCCTCTTTGCTAGCAGCGAAACTCCGATGAATTCAGATGAAAAATCCAAAACCATTGATGACATTACTACAGAGATATATAAATATCATGCAACTAATAGATCTTGATGATCGCTTTCATCAAGTTCCATGGTGTTTCTTCTGTTTCAACAATAGATAATGCCTCGAGATTCAGTGATTTGGTGAAACTATTAACACAGATCCAGATTGACCAAAGGACTGAATCAGATTTTATTTTATTTTTTCTGCAAGAAAATCAACGTGAGAGTTCTTTTCTTTTTATTGGAAAGAAGTATAAGAAACATCGCCCATGCCAAGTCTGCTACAAACTACGATAAACAGATGCCCACGAGGCAGAACCAAAGAGTAGAATACCTTATGTATGTAGCCTAAGGGAACACCTAACGCGTTGTCTTCTTCCATCTGTCCACATACCATGCACAGTCCTTTAAAAAAACCAGGATGCATGCAAGGCTTCTCAGTTTGCTGGACCCTGGACGTCTCCTCGATCAATTGAAGGGATTCTGCTGAAGAGAAACACCAGTTACATCCCACTCACATGGGGAACAATCACTAGAATTGTATCAACAATTAAGACCACGGATGAAAAATGGGCCATCACTCCATCGTGCATCTCCTGTTTTCCATCAATTCTAGATGCTTGTTCACTGGTCAAATATTCACAACTTCCCTCGACATTGTCGGAATTCGTGAGGGTTGGTTTTGTTCATACCTTCTGCAGTCTCCACCCTCCGCCTTTTAACCCTGCAATACAGCAAGAAAAGCCTCAAAACCCGCAAATCACAGAGGAATCGATGTAAAATATGTGCTGAAGAATACCCAGAACATGACATAAACTTATGTATTACTTTTTCAGATGGTCCTCTACACACGGATGATCCATGAGAGTGGCCAGTGGGAATTACAACCCATATAAATGACTGTCCCTAAGCTAGTAAATGGAATTTCATAAGCTCTATCGCACTTTTAGATGGAGAGAAGTGTATGTGTTAGAAAATTTGGAGATGAATTAGGGCGACAAAGGACTAAATGAAATCAACCAGCTATTACTGCTCCATAAATTTATGCAAAATGTCCGAGTGACCGGGTAACAGATGAATGGATTTTATCACAATGTTCCTCTCCTAGAAAATATGCCAAAAATCAGAAGGCCATCTACTCCTCGAGCAAAGGCATGCACACAAATACCGCGCATGACCTTGACATGGTTTTTGAAGAACGCCAGACAAGTGGATGGCGCTGGGCTTGGGGTTTAATTTCAACACCGGAGCATCACATTCATAGCAAAAAAATAAAGCAAGCAGCTCAGCAAAAGAAAGAAACCTAAATAACCAACACGCTTATCCCATCTATTATGAATCAACAAACCTTTCTTCATTTGCAAAATGAATATGAGCAGATAGAACAACGTTCACGTTTAAAACAAGGTGTAATGAATGCTGATACTCCAAAGCGCCTGGTTTCTACGCTGAGATATCGCATCATCAAATTATAAGAGAATAGATAACAAAACTTTCCCACAAGATGAAACTCTGCCCCTGGTTCAGAATGAATTCAAGGTGACCCACAGGAGATATTGATCATGAACAACGTCGAAAACATTTCTGTTTCGATTGTCATGTTTCTCTGGCTATGTTTCCTTAAGAATGATGAAGATTGAGTTTGGATTTTCTTCCTTGGGACAACTTCAAACAAAAAAAGGGTTTTTTCTTCCTTAGAATGTAATGCAGGATTTTGTTGATTAACTTGGCAAACTTGCCTTGTTATCTCCGAGAAAATACAAACCAGATCGAAACCAATTAACCCCCCGGGGATGGCAACGAGCAGAGTATTCGCTGGAGGAAGAAAAAATGGAGCGCATGCCCGTGCCATTGTTTCGTCGGACATCTCTCTCCATAGATGAGCTAACGATTGAAGGGAATGAGTGCTTGACACGAAAATGAATCTCAAAAATAAATGAATGCGAAGATTGGCAACAGAAGAGGAGAGGCCAAGCACTTGTTCCACGTCTCTGGAAGAGGAAACCACAAGACCCAGGATGCGGAAGAGAGGGAAGGACGAGGGCAAACAGTACCTTCGTTGTTTAGATAGAACGTCTCCGCCCTCTTCTTCGACGTCATTCGCTCCAACTTCTGGAGAAGTGTCAGAGGAAGCTGACTCCAGCTCCTCATCCAGGAAGGCAGCAAAGTCGTCGCTACTACTGGAGGAGTGAAAGGAGGTCTCCGCCAAGCTCATACCTACCAAGTCGCCACCTCTGAAAATGGATCACCGACCAAAAATTGAGGGCCTGTAGGGAACCCTTCGCTGACCTCGGGAACTTACGAACGGTTAGGTCTCGATCATCCAATCGAACCGATCATATGACTCGACGTCGCCTCTTTCGGAGGGGGAGGTGGCAAAGGACAGAGAACTTGAGGTCAACTGCGATTTCAGGGCGTTGGGCTCAACCTACAGCAGCAGCGTGGTGGACCCTAGCGATACGTGCACGAAATAGGACCAAAACGACGATATCACCCTCGGCAGCTCCCAGCTGCCGCAGACGAAGCAGTCAATGGAGAAACACCGCGAGGCCACGGCAAGTTAACGCCAGAGCAGATCTTTCAGAGACCAAAAAAAGCAGGAGCGGCATCATAACAAGAGCCCGGGCGGGCTACGGGGGGCGCTTTCGCTCCGAGGCATGTGTTGCCCTCCGGAAGATGAACTTCCTTCCATCACAAGCTACCGGAGGCTTCGTCGTTCCCTCCCCCCAAGCTCGCACCGAGGAGAGCACCAACGGACGGATTGGCCGGCGGCGGGACGATTTCCTCACAGAGATTTCTCCAGACTCAAACGAAAACGAGCAGGTTCAGTTCCTCCGCATTTCTACGGTATTATATTCAATAGTTTAATAACCTTTATTTTACTTTATTGGCAAACGTACCCTTCGTACAGCCAGAACTCGCTATTCTGAGGCATGAGGTTATTATGTATAGATCCCTATACGTTTTTACATTTACTAAAAACACATACTTCATCTAATTGTTTACTTTATGTCCAAATTACATATTTACTGCCCTCATTTCGTATGGTCTAAAAAACTCACCATCTCTCTCTCTCTCTCTTTGGCCTTATAAAAATGTAGGTCCCACTGGAATCCTTCGAGGCCCCACCGTGAGACACGTCAGCACCGGGCTGGAACGTACTGGGCTTTTTCGGGTCTCGACGGTAACCGGGCCTTCCATGGATTGCAACCCTGGGCTGGCTCGAATCATTGCAATATGACGTAATCTTGAACGACGCAATGTGCCACTCGCATGGTATATGACGTCATAATTCAAAACTGATATGATGGGTGGAAAACGTACCAAAAATTCCTGATCAGACAAGGGTCAACGCCCCTGCCCCTTGCCAAGCTGTCAGCGCGCCAACAGTCTATGAGCTTGGAGACTGTCCGACTCTTCCTCACAGAAGAGAGAGAAAGAGAGAGAGAGAGAGAGAGAGAGAGAGAGTCTGTGCAAGGCTTGTCAACGGCTGTTTTGGGATCTGTTCGTCTGTTCTGGAACACTTCTCCTCAGGAAGGAAAGGAGACGACGTCAACGGCAGAAACGAAAGCGTGACGGGAGAGCGGATGACGCTGAGCCGTGTGCGTCATTCCTTCCAAAGGATCGATGTCTGAGAAGTTGCATGGACAAGAGAGAAACCCCGGACTACAGAGATGGAGAAAGAGAGAGAGAGAGAGGTCCGTCAAAAACGGCTGTTCTGCGAGACTTCTCCTAAGAAGGCAAGGAGACGAGCGTATACCTGGTCAACGGCAGACATGGGGAGCGTGACAAGAGAGCTGATGACGCAGAGCCAGGTGCGTCATCCCTTACAAGGACTCGATGACGCACGATTGAGAGACAACGCACCGTCGTTTCCGCTGTATGGTAGAGCACGGCGCGTATTCTAATCACCAGACGACCGGCGGGCGATGCGTCAGTGAAGATGCCCAGCGGGCGGTTGGACCCTCTCTCTCTCTCTCTCTCTCTCCCCCCCCCCCCCCTAATCTTCCTCGAAATGGGATCGACGTCTGGCTGATTATGCTCGGACAGACTTGGTGAATTGTCGTAAGATCTAAACAGGAAGAAATGTTCTAAGGACATAGAAACAAAGTGACAACATCTATTCATCCACGTCGTCCAGTAGAACGGTTCCGTCGCTGATCCGCGACCCTCGACGGGAAAGGGTAATTCATGCGGCCGTGCACTGCAGCCAATATAGACGTTGTCCGAGCTGCGACTCTTGGAACCTCGTACCGAAGTGGGGTTGCTGGTTGAAATTTCGTGTCAATGGGTTCTTCTCTGTTATCTTCTCGGAATGATAAGATATCCGGACGAAGCTGAGCTAGATTTTTTTCAAAAAGTTATCAGTTACTCTCTCCCTTCTCCAACTAGAGAGAGAGAGAGAGAGAGAGAGAGAGAGAGAGAGAGAGACTTGTCGGAGCGCAGGAATCTCGGTCGAGCCTCTTGCCGCCAAAGAAGGCCTTTGGGCACAGCGGAATTGACTTCCCGGCCACTCTCGGCGGGTCTTCCAGCGGCCGGTCACAGTTTTGCGCCTCCCCCTGAAGGCTAACGACAGTTTCCCCGATCAGTAATGCAAAGGAGATCCCCGTTGACCTCCCCGGTACCGATTCAGCTCGCTCCCGTTGTTCCATGCCTGGTTCCCCGCGAACAATTACTATACACTCTGAAACCCAGTGGAACATGCCGAGGCCTTCCGTCGTTTATCTAAAATCTATGAAATTGATGGAATCATTATATGATAATATTCGGCTTTTTAATTATATGTATATATATATATATATATTTGTCTTCTGCCGTCGAAGAGTGGAGACAGTTGACCAGTTTTCAGGTCATAGACGGCGTGATAATCGGACCCATGAAGAGATCATGTGTACTCTAGAGAGTTGGCGGGCCCTTCCCCCCTTTGGAGCTGCTCGACGAATTGTCTAAGCAACAGGCGGCGGTTCTACGGTGGATAGCTCGCGTGACGTCGCCCGCCGTCGTCGGAAGTTAACGCAACCGGTCAATCTGGGTGATGACCTCGAGAAGCCGTCTCCAATCGGTATGAACGAGCGTTCGACCCCATTGCGAATGACGGCGCGGACGCGTCTTATACAATGTGCTGCACCGGCGAGAAGTCCTTCTCCTTCGAGCCGAAATTCGGAACCAGCCGCTCATTGCTAGCTTCCATAGTTGACCACCTCTACACAGATCCTTCCCTCTCAGATCTCTCCACTGAAGTCCTTGTGGAGGCGAGGTTGACTCCGGCTGCGGGGGGTGATAGTTCACCGCAACTTCGAGGGACCCTGCGATTTCGCGCGGAAACTCCTCGCGCCGGCGGCGATTGATTAATCGACCATCTCCCCGCGAGATTATTTTACAGAAACCTGAAAGATATTTAATGTCAGATGGAGCTACTTTCGTCGACATCAAGAACTCGTCTTCACGTTTCCCCGCTCGTGAATCGGTGTAGTTGCGAGGAAGCTGTTCCCATGCGGGTGGATCGACGGCGAGGTTCCCACCGGCCACGGACGGATCGCTCTCAGAGGGAGACGTGGTGATACCCGACTGGGAAAGGCGGCGATGAACGGAATCCAGTGAAAACATGCTACTATATTCCTCGTGTAAATACATGCAGATCATACGACATGCGGAGGAGGGGAGGGGAAGGGTTATCAGCATAGACCGCCCCAACTCTTGCCCATGCATTCTCTTTCCCTCTCTTAGTTTTTAAGTGAACGTGTGTATTTGTATGAGAGAGAGAGAGAGAGAGAGAGAGAGAAGTACGTGGAGCTTGCGGACTTCCCGGTTCCCAAGGGAGTTCAGATATCCAGCAAGGCAAGCCTTATCCATTGATAACCCCCGAGTTCAGCTATCGCATGATAATCTTCTAGGCATTTTTCAACTTTTAGTGGGAGTTGACTTTCCGGAATTAATGACGTGGTCATTTATGGAAATTTGAAATTTTCGATGACTAGAGTTGGTATCGTGATCCACCTCACAGTGATTATCGTCAGCTCCATGAGTAGATCTCTCCGCTTTGTGGTGTTTGCGAAATGAATAGAGAGCGAGGACCAGCGTGACCTGCACGAGCTCCACGGTGGGTGTGCTTCTGCCCAATCCCCAAGCGTCGATACGCACGAGGGTACTTGAATCTCTCATCCTCATCCTAAAAAGCTCTGATCTTGCTGAGGGAGACGAGTGAACTGTTGACTTTGAAAGTGGAAAACTGTAACATGGGGTGGGGACCCATCTTGGGTTATGCTGACTTCGGGTATTTTTCGATGAACAGGAAGCCGGGCAACCTCTCTGTCTGACCGGTCAAGGTGAACGGAGAAGAGAGTTCTGAGAAGTTTCCGAGCTGATGCTGACGCAAGCCTCGTGACGTAAGGCTGCTACTGATCGACGGAACCGCTAATTCTGAGTGTAACATTCTCACGGAAGACAAGTCCGCCATGCTCGAGCTGAAGCCACCATAAATCTCCCCCATCCTCGCCTTCTCTTCCATTCGGCCCTTCGGAGGTCCGTATGCCTTCTCGCTGTGCCACGCCCTCTATCTCTCTCTCCCCCTCCCCCTCTCTCAGAAGATAAAAAAACAAACTTGGAGTCAACCCAACCAAAAGACCCTTTTCTGGGTCTCGCCGCCACCAAGCATGGAATCCTTCGCCGCCGCCGCCACCGACTACACTTCCCTCAACCTCGGCCTGCACCTCGGCTGCGGCGGCGGCAGCAAATTGCCGTATCGGGAGGGAGAACAGCAGGTGAGTGAAAAATCTACGACTATATCTCCTTACTTTTGCTTTAATTTTCCGGGCGCTTGGTTCGATCGAAGATGGGTTCTATTGGGCAGCTCCCCATCTCGGAGGGCTCGCCGGGCGGCGGCGCCCTGGAAGCGGAGCTGAGCCGCATGAACGACGAGAACAGGAAGCTCAACGAGAAGCTGAGCATCATGAAAGAGAGTTACTGCGCCTTGCGGACTCAACTGATGTGCTTGATGAGCACGTCGCCTACAGATAGGGCGCCGGCTTCTCCTTCGGGGAAGAGGAAAGCAGACAGTTTCGAGACGGTCGGAAGCGACGACGTAATCGCCGCCGGCGTTGTTGCGGCGATCTGCACGGAGAGCACTTCCGGAGAAGACGATCTCTGCAAGAGAACCAGGGAGGAGCCGAAAGTTAAGATTTCCAAGATCAGCGTTCGGACGAGCCCAACTGATACGACCCTGGTAAGCTCCTGAACCAGGAAGGATCGTCGCCATGGCCGAGCAGGCCGGTATGCTGTTGATCTGAGGGCGCCTGTCTGTGATGTTTGGTCAGGTGGTGAAGGACGGGTACCAGTGGAGAAAATACGGCCAGAAGATCACCAGAGACAACCCGTCCCCTCGAGCTTACTTCAGATGCTCCTTCGCCCCTTCGTGCCCCGTCAAGAAAAAGGTACACCCCGCCCCCTCGCATCGCTGAATCTCTCCGTCTCCAAGAGTTTCTGATATTATAATGTTCTTGCAATGGAAGTAATGAAAGAAAATCATTTCATTCGATCTATGAGATTATCATATTGCTCGCTATGTAGATTTTATGTTCGTAAATTCTGAATGGGATGGTGCAATTCTTCCACTTCAGGTGCAGAGAAGCGTGGACGACAGATCTATCCTGGTAGCCACCTACGAAGGAGAGCACAACCACCCTCTACCATCTCAACCAGAGGCGGCGGCGGCCGCCACCGCTTGCAAGGTCGCCGCACCCGGATCAAACGGCGAGCTCGAGACGGCGGGCCACCGGAGGATCGGCTCGTGGGGGTTCCATCGGTTGCTGGCTGAGCAGATGGCCTCCTCTTTGACCAAGGACCCCGACTTCACGGCGGCGCTGGCGAGCGCCATTTCGGGCAAAATTCTGCAGCTATAGATAGATTCGCCGCTGCTCCATCCTCCTTCCTGTATCCCTCCATGGCCACCACTACAGAGCTCGGCGTCGACAAGAAGCGAATAGAAAGCAAGGTTCTGAAGGTCCTCGGACTGTACAAAGCTCCGATCAAGACTGTGAGACGGGTTCCAAAATTTCCAGTGTTGACTGTACGTTTCATCTGGGTCTGCAAACAAGATAGAAACTTTGTGTCCTTACCGGCAGCATTACACTCAAGTCGTCGAGTTTGACCCGTCCGCCGGGTTCCGGGTCAGCTGGCTCTTCTACTTCCTGCCTCCCCCGTATCAATGTGTCTGGTTCGGCCTCCCTTTTGGTCTCTGGTTTTGCCAGCCGTGCGGTACTTTTTTTCTTCATATGAGAGAAAGAGGGAGAGAGAGAGAGAGAGAGAGAGAGTTGCATAAAAACACTGTTGGTCTGAAGTCCACCCGCGGAGCCCGCCACCTCCGACCTACGGGGAAGGAAGAGTGGAGGTCATTCCGGGAGAGCGACTTAGTGATAAGTGGGTGGCCCGTCTCTACACCTGGTTTGACCGTTCCTCTACGAGATCGAGCCGGGTCCAGTCCCGTGGACGGCCCACTGTCCCATCCGCTTGTCATCAGGTCTCTGAACGCAGATTTGTATATGGGCCACGTAGGTGGGCCAGACGAGTAAACTAGTGGGTCCGATTGCGAATTAGAAGGAGCCCATTAACGAGAGTACTGTTGCTCGGAAACTTCACAAAGGGTAGAAAAGCAAAAGAAGAAAACGAATTACCTGGGGGGGGGGGTTTGTACAAAATGGCATGCGCACGTTAGAAGAAGAATCATCTTACCCCCCATCCCGAACAAAGCTCCAGGGTCGCCGCGGCTCGCTTTTCTATTTATTTCTAAAAATATAAAAATATGTACGCGTACGGATCCAATGTTTCAGGACCATTTCTTCTTCTCCCTCGTCGCCGATCTAGTCGGGCCGGGCCCACTGGGCTGTCGGTGAGCCCTTCCCGGGCCTAGCTGCTGCACCATCACCGGCGACGGCGCCGCCGCCCCGCCGGCGACCATTATGCCGGGTCCTCCCACCCGAGGCCTCGACTCCTCCGCCTCTCCCTCCCAGCGCCGAGGCGGAGCCGCCATCGCCGCCGCCTCCTCCTCCTCATCCTCTTCCGCCGCCGCCGCCGCCGCGCGCTGCTGGTAGAGCCGTACGGCCACCATCAACATGAACACTGCAGGGGAAGTCGGAAGATGGGAGGAGATCCGTTGGCTTCAGAGGAGAGGACAACGGGGAAACGGTCGGGGAGAGAAGGACGGCGGCGAAGGAGACAGGATACTTTTTTCCTCTTTTTTTTTTCTTTTTCCTTTTTTGTTTCTTTTTGGGTGTTCGTCTTCTTCCTCGGCTCACCTGCCCACATCCGAGCGACCGCAGAGGACAGGTTCCAGGTGAGGGTGAAGACACCGGTGGCCACGGCCTTCTTGTGCTGGCACGATTCCCACGCGTCCTTCACCCGTTCCAGCCAGAATTTACCTTCACCGCCGCCGTGAGTGAACCGGGTCAGATGCTGCTCAGTTAAAAAAAAACAAAGGGAGCAACCACCACCCGCTGCCGCCGCCGCCGGCGTCTGGTGCTCGCCGGAGGGGCACGTGAAACAGAGCGGTGGGGGGCAGAGCCTGCCGTACTCTCTGAGGTTGCAGAGTTCACCCTCATGGAAGAATTACCGAAGTGGAAGAGAAAATTACCCACCGAATCGAGCCAGCTGAACCGAATACGAGGAGCAGATCTTGGGGATGGTGAACACGCCGAAGAATGCTGCAAAAGGGCGGAAGTATCAGGATTCCTCCATCCGCGCTGGTCAAGAAAACTGAGGAGAGGAGATGGAGACCCATTTTGGCCATGGTCCAGCAAGTGATGGTGCCGCCACACCTCGCCAGGAAGAACAGCATCAGGGCCAGCTGCCAGAAGAGAACGATGACCACCGTCACTCCCATTTTCAGGAAATCCCACCCCCCGCCCGCGGAGATTATGGGGAGAGAGCACGAGTGGGTACTATTCCTACTGGCATACTACCCAGACCTTCATGGTGGTGGCGGGGTCGCCGGAGAAGAGGGCCTTGAGGTTGATGAGAAGCTCGTTTACATAGGGCAGGAGCAACCTGACCACCCGGATCGCGTCTTCCTCCCCCAGCATGCAACTCCGGTCTTTCTCCTCTGAATCTGCAGTTCCTCTGTTCAAAGGGAAGATAACGAGATCAGGGAGAGGCCGCCGCCGTGGACCTGGCGATCTGTGAGATTTGCGCAGAGGGCGTCAAAAAACCTGCGGAGGATAGAATTGAAGAAGAAGATCGCCGCCAGGTAGATCAGGCCGAGGTAGGAAATAGCGGAGACTAGGCTGCAGGGAGGGCGAAGCATTAGGGATTTCACGATGACGGCGAAGAAGTAAAATGTGGAGGTGGAGAGATTTCTCCTGCCTGAAGTTGAGATCTCTGGTGTAGGAAGAGGAGAGGAGCAGAAATGATCCGATCCCGAACACGAACGCCGATCTTGGGATCTCTCTCCACATCACCAGGTCCACTGCGCGATTTCCCGAAATGGGGGAAGGTTTCACGAGGGGGGAGCATGAGATTCGGAATATCAGAGGAAGAACAAGAAGAGATAACACAGAAGCAGCCGAATTCAGTGGATGAAAAGAGGAGAACACACCAATGCTCTGCATCCTGTGTTCTGCTTCTGTCATCGTCTCGTAAAACCCTTCGTCCATTACTACCAGAGCAAGAAAAACAAGTATAATTCTGTGACAATCCGAATCGGGAATAGAAATTCCACGAGGAAGACGAAAACTCGCCCAGAATTGCGTCATACCAGGTGGTCTCATCTCGATCACCTTCGGAGGGGATCTTTCGGGCGGTGCCTCGATAGCCAAGGGAAGCGGAGACGCCGGGGCAGGAATGACGTCCAAACTGGCCGCCGCTTCCGGTGAGGATCTCTCGACGCCGAGATCAACGGCCTGCTTCCTTTCCGCCGCATCCGGCATCTTCTCATCTGCGTTCGACGAGACGGATTTGTCGCAGATCTGATCGTTCTTCTTTCCGGCCACGACCATCTCCTTGTCGTCGAAGCTTCTCCTCCTTTCCTCCATCTCAATCTCGATCTCCTTTCCCTGCGCTGCATTGCTCAGACCACCCTCCACGGCCTTCTCCTCTTCGATCTTCGGGGAATTCGGCAACAAGGACTGCGTCTTCCTCAACCTGTTGGAGGAGGGGCTCTTCTCTCCGGCCCCGACATTCCCCACCTCGGGAGGGCTCCAGTTCTTCCTCTTCCTCCTATCGCCTCCTCCTCCCTCACTCTGGTTGCGCCGGAGCCGCAGATTGTAAACTCGCACTCCTCCCTCGTCCTCGTCCCCTTCGCGGCTCTCCTCCTCCGTGAAAACCTTGATGCCTCCCTTCACCTCGTCCAGCTTCATCCTCGTCTCCCAGATCGACCCCGCCATCACTCCGTTGGACCTCATTGCGCTTCTTCTACTGGCCCCCGCCTGCATCTCGTTCCACCCCCACATCCCTCCCTCACTCCCCGGGGTCGCTGCTCTTCCAAGAAATATCCTAATGATTGATTACACAGTCCACAGCTAGATAGAGAGAGACAGAGAGAGAGAGATGACGGGAGCTTGACGAAGCATCTTCTTCCTCGGTTCAGCGCTCGTCCTTTTTATAGTCCTGCCCTCTGGACCTCTCTGATGGCAAAATTTCCTTAATAATAATAATAATAATAATAATAATAATAATATATGTTAATAAAGTGCTTCAGAAAATCTCATCGATAATAAATTTATTCCAAATCACAGGTGCATTATCCCGCCGGAACAAGCGCAGGTGGGAAGGTGAAGAGGGAGCGGAGATGCCTTCTACGCGATGGCAGGAGCTCGAGTGCCTCCTCCGCGGGACACGCCAAGCCATCGGTTTATCCATTGTCATATTCTTAGTTAGACACGACAGGTGTGATTCTAACCAGAGCTTTTCCGTCCATACGTTAGAGAGAGAGAGAGAGAGAGAGAGGAAATAGCCGTTAGGGAAACGGGCCCAATTGTGTTGGGTCTAAAGGGAAGGAGGTCCCACGTGTGGAGTAGCAATGAAGTCGACCCGCCGACACTCTGCGGCGACCGCCTTATTGGGCTAGAGATTTGACTGCGACGGCTGGCCCACTTCTCCCTTTCGGGGTTCCTCTGCGCCTGACGTGCTAGCTAACATCGGTTGACGGGGCGGACGGTGAGGTCCGTTGAATGGACGGCAAGTAAATAATGGGCTCCTTTTATTGATGAGCCCGAATCATACGAAGCTCCATTGCAAATATGGATTATGGTTGGTAAAATGCCCATTAAGTATGGTCATCTGCTTCAACTTTAGAAGTATAAACGTGGCAATGGCTTGTAGTGGCTTGGCTCTAAGATTCTAGCAAATTTCTCTCTTTTTTTTTTAAAAAAGTGGGAGTGATGGGGTGTGAGAGGGCCAATGTAAGTTGGACTGAATTTGTTGAATTAAAGAGGATCAATAAATTAATGGATATGAATTGGGTAATATACTCTCTTAACGACAATATTTGCCATGTCATTAGGGATTTTTTTCTCACTCTAAAATAAAAATTATTAGATGTTTTTTTTTATGCGGGATCTCTCTCTCTCTCTCTTCTCTCTCTTTCTCTCTCTCTCTCTCTTTCTTTCTCTCTTTCTCTCTCTCTTCTCTCTCTTTCTCTCTCTCTCTCTCTCTTCTCTCTTTCTCTCTCTTTCTCTTTCTCTCTCTCTCTCTTTCTCTCTCTCTCTCTCTTTCTCTCTCTCTCTCTCTCTTTCTCTCTCTCTTTCTCTCTCTCTCTCTCTTTCTCTCTCTCTCTCTCTCTTTCTCTCTCTCTTTCTCTCTCTCTTTCTCTCTCTCTCTCTCTCTCTCTTTCTCTCTCTCTTTCTCTCTCTCTCTCTTTCTCTATGTGTATCTATATATATGATTGAACTTAGTTGAGTTGGGAATGGATTTTATAAGAAAGTATGGAGTTCGGTCCATGGAATCTCTTTCAAGTTCTTGCCAAGTCTCTAAAACCTCTAAATGATATGTATGTTCAGCTTGGAAATGACTAAATTGTGAACAAGTTTAATTTAGGCCAAAATAAATACATAAATAAAACCTATTTTCTTATGCTAAAAAAAATGATTATACCATAAAATGTAAAATATGATGCTACATCATAAGCTGTATGCTGCTATTAACAACAGACTCTTTGAGGCACAAAGTTGTCTATGGCTTACTACGTTCCCATACTACTTGATAACTAAGTTCCCAGACTCTTTGAGTGCTAATTCGTGCGAGAATCAACCAAAGTATGTGTCGATCAATGCATCATGATTACTTCTCCTAAGAAAATGTGTAATCTTTCAATGAAATAATATGCAAAATAGAGAGAATAAGATGTTAAATGCCCACAAGTCTATGAGTAATGATGGAGACATTTCTTCAAGTGATAAAAGCAAATAAGAGATAACAATTCATGGTGCTATCAAGAAATTTGGTGATGCTTTCGAGCAGCACTTGAGATGTATGAGCAAAAGTCCCCTCATAAGCAATGTCACAATGAGCAAAATATCACGCCTTAAGCTAAACCTAATAATTATTGACAATGCCAATATCAATAAGTCAAACGTAATCTACATGGAGTTAGTAACATGACGAAATCTGAAGCAAAATATTCAGCACTTGGGTAATTGAAATATTGGAATATTTCCTACTTAGTGTAATGCTTCTACGTTAGAGATCCCTTTCAAGCATCTGCTATGAATAATTAGTTCTTAGAAAATATGTTAGTGAATGTTCTAAGTTGTAGATTTACAAATCATCTCTCACATAGTGAACAAGGAGCATTATTTCATTTTTAATTTTATTTTATTTATAGATAACTAATGATGAGTATAATGTAGTGAATTATTAATTCGGTATGTTGCAATGTACTAGACAGAGAAAGTCTATTATGGTAGTACAATGCTTAGAAAATATGTCAACTCTTTGACCTTTCATCTCAATCAAAGACCTTGAAGGAAAATTCCAAAAAGATGGTCCATCCGAAACTTGAGCTAGGTTGGTTATATTGTATGAACTATCATGACAGCTTTTGTAATGCCAATTATCTAGAGAATTGTAAGTCAAATATTGGTCAATACATTGGAAAGATTACCATGAAGATTTTGACATGCATGCATAAAATAATCATAAAAAGCAAACATTCCCCAATCTTTTGGATTCGTACACAACATGGCAGTCTTAATCCTTTTATATTTTTTAATTAACATAGATGAAGTTCTTGTGAAGAAAAGGGAAATAGAAGAAATAATGTTAATACATAAATACATAAAATCTTATAAAATATGCAAACTTTAGATAGGATTGACCTCTTGATTCTCTAAATCATGACGAACCAAATGGGTGGGGTAAATCTTGTTTTCAAACTATATTATTTTTAAATATTTATATTATTATAAAAAATATATGGTTAACAAATATGGTGGTAACGATTATTGGGTAAGGAAGACCACACAGTCTAGACTAAATGGTTGGTTGGGCTTCTTCTTATTGGGCTAGAAATTTGGCCCGTTGGACTGGATTAAACAACCAGCGTAGTTCGCGAAGCCCAAAAGGGATAGTTTGTCCCCGCAGGGGGTGGAATTGGGTTGAAGGAGGGGTATTTACGATAATGCACATGTCGAGCGTTGTGACGGAAGGCGATTTCGTGGACTTTCCAACCAAACAAACGGCAGGAGGGGTGTTCGGAATGGTGTGGACAATAGAGAATAGCGGTGCCGGCGGCTGGACCCCCCCGGGGATCAGGGCAGGCGCCTTCACCAGGAAGTGAGAGGGGCGCTGTGGCGGTGTGGCTGTCGTGCCTCAGCCTGCCCCAATCCCACGGCTATAAGAATAGAGGGAAGGTGTGACGGCAACTTGCTTCCCCTGGTGGCTCTCAGGATATCACCGGAGCGCCACGTCTGGTGGGTCTGAGGCCCTACGTCCCTCTGCAGATGGCCGGCAGCCTCGCGGATTCTACCCTTCTCATTCGGGTAGAGGGCCGCCCTTGTTTCTCTGTTGCCGATGTTTCTTCTCCTTGTTTTCACTTTGGGTGCTCAGACTTACTGAAATCGGTTTCTCTCGGTCTCAGGGGCCACCGCAGAGGGCGGCTTTCGGCAGAAGGGCCCAGATTTCTCCTGGTACGTCCAAAGAAATCGGTTGTGTTTGACGTCCTGGGCATGTTGCATTGGCTTTGTATGTGCTGCTATGTGGGGGTCATATCTAGTTACGAGCTTCATTCTTCTCTGGTTTCGTCTGTTTTCAAGATTGGCCCCTGTAGCTTGAGGATTTCTGCTGTTATTTTTATCTCCGTACTCTGCAGAACTCGTCACCTCTTCCCAAGTACTTCGCTGTTATAGTAAACATGCTCACCACACGTTATGTAGAGACGTCGAGCTACAGAGGGACTGAGAACCCTACTCGGGGAAAAGGTTAGAGTGATTGCAACCCTTGACCACACGGATACCAGAGAAGTTCTCGTGGATTTAGCCGAATAAACCAGTAAAAATGTGACGCAGAACGTGGAGCTGTCATACCATCTGGTGTATAATTGTCATAACATCTCCAGTGTATCGCTTGATATGGGCGAGTGAGAGGGCCGTTGACTTGGTTTTAATCAGCTGTGTTCTGCCGAAAAGGTCAACAGTGAAGGGCGACATATACACGACATGTGGCTGAGAAGGACGGGACCATAGAACTATTGTATAGGCAGGGTGTGTTGACTTTTAATGCGTGATGCATGATTCTATATTAACTGTAACGATTGCTGGTAGAATGCTGATATTTTATGCCCTGCCTAGACGAAGAAGAGTCATATTACTATTCCAGATCCTAGTTGCTTGGCCTTTTTAAGAGGCTCACATTCGCATTAACTTCTCATGCTTTTTTTTATTTAAAGCAACTGTTTTTCTATAATTTTTGGATTTTTTTTCCCAGGTCAATGCAGAATGTTGCAATACAGATATTCGTTCTCATTAATGTCATTTTTATGCTTTCCCCTTGATTCATGGTGGGAATCACGTGCACCAACATGACAGGTGAATACCAGCTAAAATGGGGAGGCCATCTATGGCAAAGAGCGTTTCAGCGACATCGCTTTCACCACAATCTGCGCAAGAATTCTATGGTCATTCAAGCTGTGGCTGCTCCAGTGTCAGCGCCTGTGGTAGGCAATGACGAGGAAAGAAAGCAGATGTGCGAAAACTACGGATTCACACAGATTGCGGAGCTGGTTCCTGATGATATAACTCTGAGAGATATTATAAGCTCTTTACCTAAGAAGGTGTTCTGGGAGAAACCCTGATTGTAATTTTTCTTTTGTGTCTTCATTTGTTCACTTATACCTTGTTGACACATTCTGATTTTTCTCCAAGGTATTTGAAATTGATGATGTGAAAGCTTGGAAATCCGTCTTGATATCAGTCACCTCTTATGCATTGGGGATTTTTATGATTTCTAAATCTCCATGGTATCTTCTCCCTCTGGCTTGGGCATGGACTGGCACAGCAGTGACAGGGGTAGGTTTCTACATGCCTTTGGCCTTTTCTTTTCAGATATTTATCGTAAAAATAGTATTTATCATGAATATATATATTCCATTTCTTGTTGTGGCCACTGACATCATCTTTGCCTGAAGTTTTTTGTGATAGGCCACGACTGCGCTCACAAGTCATTTTCGCGCAATAAATTAGTGGAAGATATTGTAGGAACCCTGGCGTTCTTGCCCCTCATATATCCATATGAACCATGGCGATTTAAGCATGATCAGCACCATGCCAAGACGAACATGTCTGTATGCTTTTCCTCTACCTATATCCAACCTGATGACTAAATAAATGTCTATATTTTTTTCTTTTTTTATTGGGTATTTGTTCTATGGCACTTTATTGCTCTGGCTGTTATAAGGATGCTATTCAAGCTACATCAGTTCACATCTTATTATTTTCTGGCTTGAAGCCTTTTGATATGATTTAATCGAACATAATCATGAACTATATTTCAACTACATACTAAGTGCATGATCTTAAAATTTGAGCATTTTTTTATTTATTTATGTCAATTTATTGCATTTTTGCGTTGAAATATCCATTATATGGACAATCTGTGCCCCGGTTTTGAGATCCATTCGGTAAGGTTACTGTAGGTCCCACCCCTACCCCGTGGTGGATCTTAGCTGCACTGTGGATCTTAAGATGATGCTAAAATTACCCTCCTTCTTTGCCTTCAATTCTCCAGGCTACAAGAGGACACTGCTTGGCATCCTGTGAGAAGAGAAGAATTTGATTCTCAGCCTCTTCTGCGAAAAGGAATAATCCTGGGATATGGCCCATTCCGACCTTGGATGTCCATAGCTCACTGGTATGTTAATCTTTTCTTCTTCCTTTCAGCTGATGAGAAACAGGACTCCGTTCACATCTTTTTGATTTTATGTTGGGAAATGGTCTTGTGCTAGATATTTATACATATTTGTGCTTCTCAACGCCACTTACCTTCAATAACAGGTTAGTGTGGCACTTTGATGTGAAGAAATTCAGACCGAATGAAGTGCAGAGGGTGAAGATTAGCTTGGCATGCGTCTCTGCATTCATTGCTATTGGATGGCCTTTGATTATTTTCAAGACGGGGTTTATTGGATGGATCAAGTACTGGTTCATGCCATTCTTGGTGTATCACTTTTGGGTAAAGTTTCAATTTATTTATTTATTTTATTTTTTCCACCCCCCTTCTTCGGATCTTCTTCCTGGTCTCATGCAGAGTTTTCTGTGTTCATGATCTAGATGAGTACTTTTACAATGGTTCATCACACCGCACCTCACATACCGTTCAAAGCTTCAGATGTGTGGAATGCTGCTCAGGCTCAGCTCAGCGGAACAGTCCACTGCACATATCCTCGGTGGTACTTCCCTGTTCATCCTCCCATTTCTTTCATCGTTCTTCTCTGAGGTGTTCTTGCAGTTACATATACGCGCCTCATGATGATGTTGACCAATCGATGGTGAATCTTTTTTCTCTTATCCTTTCGTATTATTATTATTATTATTATTATTATTATTATTATTATATAGAGAATGGTGTGGATCTTGCATCACATGGAGAATAATTGTGGGAAATCTCATATGATTTGAGGTTCTTACATTATAAATCGTCATGAATGATCTAGAAATGGTGAAAGTTTTGTCATGAATCCAAAAGTCAGAGCCCTCCAAAAGTCAAAAAATCATCAGCCGCACAAGTTTTTCTTAATTATTATCGATTGAAGCATTCCGATTTACTGGGTGACGAGTCTGTCTTTGACAGGGTGGAGATTCTTTGCCACGACATCAACGTGCACATTCCTCATCATATTTCTCCGAGAATACCCAGTTACAACCTGAGAGATGCCCACAAGTCGCTTCAAGAAAACTGGGGCAAGGTATAGAGTCTGCTTGATAAAAATCTCTTTCCTGTTAAACATGGCTATGGTCTGACAGATCTTTTGGTTGGCCGCAGTATCTCAATGAAGCCAACTGGAACTGGCGCCTGATGAAGACGATAATGACCGTATGCCATGTTTACAACGAAGAACATAACTATGTCCCCTTTGACAGCCTCAGACCAGAAGAATCTGGTCCCATCCTGTTCCTCAAGAAAGTGATGCCCGATTATGCATGATTTTTCTATCCAGCAATGCGCTTTCATCTTCTGGATCCTCCGAGTTAATGATCCAGTCGCAGAATCTGCAACTGGGACTGAGGGGTAGGTGTTACATGGTGGGGAGCGGGGGAGTCTCCCAGACGTCGAAGACGTTCTCGTCGCTGTGGAGGGCGAAGAGGCGGTCGCCGGCGATGGAGATATCGCTCATGGAGCCGCCGGAGCTGCTGCTCAGGCGGGAGGTGAGGACCCATTCCGGGCCGCTGAAGACGGAGATGCTCTCGTTCATGGAAGAGAAGAGCTGCCCGTCGTTGACCTCCAGCTTGGGGAAACAGAGGTCCATTCCGTCCATCTTCCCCCTCATGAACCGGCTCCGGGAGTTCCACCGGATACTTCTACCGGCGGCGCCGCCGCGCAGGTCCAGGAAACCCAGATCGTCGTACTGGTTCACCACGCAGATACAGGGCCCTCCTTCCTCCATGGCGACGGCGGCCAAAACCTGCTTCTCGTCGGGGGGCACGATCGAGCCGCCGTCCGACCATGACCAGGCCACCTTCTTCTCCCGGAAGTCGAGGAGCCCGATGAAACAGTGGTCCGCCTTCGGGAACAGCGTCGCCGTCATCAAGCACCGGTTGCCCTCCAGCCACTGGAGCTTGTCGGCCTCTCCGAGGGCGACGGTGTCGCCGCCGGTGCCGGCGAGCTCATAGAAGAAGTCCGTCTGCTGGCCGGTGACCTGGTCCCACACGCCGATCCCGTACTCGTTGAACCTCCCCTTGCAGCTGGCGAAGATTCTCCGGCCGGCGTGGTCGAAGGTAAGCGCTCCGGCGGTGAAGCTCTTGAACTGGTTCTGGTGGGTCACCTGGAACCGGTGGCGGAGCTCCCCCGTTGACGAGGAGAAGAGGCCCAACCCGCCATCGCCTCTTCCCGGCCTCTCGGAGGCGGTGACCACGATCTTGTCGAAGTCCATGTACCCCGCGTCGTTGACCCGCAGGTAGTCGAGGGTGATGGGCTTGAGCTCGTCGAGCATCCAGTTGTACACATGGACCATGCTGCCGTGCGCGACGCAGCAGCCGCCGTCGGGGCCGGCGCGGATGGCGGCGCCGTCCCCGGGCGCGCGGCCGGTGACGGTGCGCGCGAGCTGGAGGCGGTTGCCGTCGAGCGGGCTCCACTTGGCGGCGCGGACGTGGTCGAGGAGGCCGTAGTAGAGGGCCTCCCGGCAGAGGAGCTTCTCCGGGATGGTCGGCGGCAGGTGGAGCTCGCCGGTGCGTAGCAGGTCGAGGAGGACGGCGAAGCACGCCGGATTCCGATCGATGAAGTACTCGCCGGCGGCGGCGCCCCTGACGTTCCAGTCCTCGTCCAGGACGGCGCCGAGCATGGACTGGCGCCCGGCGCCGGCGAGGGTCGTCGCCGTTGTCTCGAAGATCCTGCCGCCGACGTTGAATCGGACGCGATCAGTGCCGCTCTCCATTCTCCTACGTAAGAATCTCACGAACCCAGACGACAGACCAGCGAGGTCGCCGGAAAACACTCATAAAAATTCTCCACAGGCATCCGATCGGCGGCGCCGGGGAGAAGGAAGGAGGCCCGGAGGAGATGAGAGAGGGGGTGATATTTATAGCCGGAAATGAACGGAAAAAGGAATAATCCCCTGGCCAGCGGCACCGGGGAATCGGAATCGTAGTAGATGAGCGTCCCCTTCTCCCTCCTCCCCCCCTAGCGCCTAACACGAGCTCCCTATTCACGCACTGCGTGTTCAGGCCTTTAATGTTGTGTGTGGGGGGAGTGGGGAGGAAGGAGGAGGAGGACGACGAAGACAGGCGTCTGCTTCTTCCGTTGCTTCCCTCCACCGGCCGGGTTCTCTCCGATTGGCCGGCGGGGCCGCACCACAAAAGATCATGCCTTCTCTTCAAAGTCAGCGCCTTTCCCACACGGAACCCTAAGCGCCATTATCCCTCTTCCTTTCTGGCGTGGAGAGTCCCGCCCGGCATGGTCGCTGCACTGGGTGCCCACTCTGATCGGGATGCTCAGAGGAGGACCCGTTATGTTGAGCCGGTAGTCCGTCGTAAATTATCATGTCCTCTCGAAATCGGGCATCCTGGTGGGGCCCATCGAGAAGTCCAATTCAACTTTGGAGTTCATTTTTTCTGCGTTGACCGGGGAGTAGGATGCGCTGGGGCCCGTTTGACCGAGTCAGCTGCCGCAAGTGCGCCCATTCGACCGAGTCAGTATCTGCGGACCCTATACCTGCGAACCTCATCAAAGTCGTCGCTTGTTTCGCCGGTCGTAGCGTTGACTTTAAATGGGGCGCCATCCCCGCAACCCGTTTCCCACCTCTTTGACCGTATCGGATCCAGAATAGTGGGCCATCGGCAGCTGAGGCCCATTATTATATCCGGGCCGCCATTTGTCAGCCCATTTCCAAGGGTGTAGGGTTTATAAACCCGGCTTCTCCGCCGGAGAGATGCTCTCTCTTCCGGCGGTGAGAGTCGTCGGCGCCGGAGCCGGCGATCAGGTTTGGTGCGGCGACGCCTCTCCGCCTCGTTTCGCCGCCTCCAGTCACCAAGTTCCTCCGAAGTATAAGGACGTGTCAGAGTCAACGAACGTTCCCGTATGGATCCGATGACGGATGGGGCGGCGGTGAAGACGGGCAAGTCCCGGGGAGGTCTCCCGCCGCTAGCTCTGTTTACAGTTGTGAGCGGGGGCATATTGAGCCGGAAGATCGAGTTCCACACGGCGAGGACGTCCTTTTCCGGCTTCGGCGTTGCCAGTGGTGAGATATTGAAACCTGGGGTGGACCCGAGCGCGGCCTCCGCCTCCTCCGATGTGGGGCCTTCGTCGGGAGGTCAGGGAAAGAGGTCAGACGCCGGGGAGTTGCAGTGCGGTTTGGATCCGGAGCTCAGATTTGAAATCTCGTTTCGACGAATCGTGAGTCCGTTTCTGTATTCGGGATATTTGTGAGTGGATGTTGAAGTTGTTTTGGATGTCGTTCGCACTCGTGTTGTTGCAGTTTCCTTGTTATCTCTGGCTGCTCTAGCGTCAACTATATTTCTGGGACCCTTGAGCCTTAAGCGTTGAAACTCTTCTAACTCTTACGCGTTGAATGCATCTTTTTAACAGGAAGGGAAAGGCCGTGTTCCCTCTAGAAATGTTGATACGTTGCTCGTTATGGTCTGTTGAATGTTCATGGCCTCAAATTTTGTGCTTTGTTTATTTACGGAATTCCATCTGCCGTTTGAAATATTAGCTTGTTTTACCTATCATTTGCGAGTGTCGAGTTCTACCATGAATAAAATTAAAAGATAGAACATTCCTTTCTTACGTGAGATATTGATTCCATCACTGAAATTGAGCCGAATGTGATCAAATCCTTTATTTATTTATCCTTCATTTTTTTCGTCTACCTTAGTGCATGTTTTTATCTCCGAGTGCTCATCTTCCGAACAAGGATTAATCATACATCTGACAGGGTGCGGGTCTAGCAAATCTTGGGAATACCTGCTTTCTCAATTCGGTTCTCCAATGCTTGACGTATACGGAGCCATTTGCTGCCTATTTGCAGAGTGGGAAGCACACGTCTTCATGTAAGTCTGTACTTTTTCGGTAAATCCTATAATCTACTGAAACTGAAGTTGGTATATTTTGACCATGCTTTAACCCTGCTAGTTAATTACCGATCTTTTTCTGAAAAGACATTATAATGCAAATTTACGTCTATTTATTCGACATAAATGGTAAAATTCTGTCAAGACACCAAGAAAGCAGGCTGCCTTTTCAGTCTACACAAGGCATGGCTCGGTGTCTGGCATGAGTAAATAGGAATATGAAATATTTTTGTGTGTATTTTAACCAGTTTGTCTTTAAACGAACCCATAGCTATTCACACATATATGAAAATAGAAAAACCTTGGGTTTATGTCTATTGACCTGGGATTCTAGTGTAAAATAATTTTTACAAAAGAACAAGGAAAATAGGTCAGATCTAAGATTTAAAATTATAAATAACTGGAAAATTGTGTCTGAGTAACTTAACATATAGCGGGAGATTATGGACTATGGGTGGCGGCAATTCATAGAGCTGGAGGGAACAGCAGCTAAGCGACAGTAACACAGATGGCTGGTGGTGAAGTGGGGGGGGGGGATTGGTTGGTGTCAGCGGTGCTTGTGGTCATTCACTCGTTGGAAAGTTCTCATGGCATCAATGGGAGAGGGTGTGATGGGGGCTTTACTTGAGGAGTGACGTGGTGGGCTTGGTAAAGTTATGAGGTTCTCCACTTTATCCACTTCCCCCACATCTTTCTACCACGTTTTACAAATATCTGCAACGTTCCTTATAATATCTGCAATTGTCTGAATTTGTGCTCATATATCTTACGACTCGCGTTGCTATTTTTTTAAAATGGGAAAAAATGTCACATTTCTTACCACACCATGACTAAAGGAATCCGATCAAAGGGAAAAGCGAGCTATTGTCCCTACTGTAGGAGATGAGACTCCACTATCTGTTTCTATTTGGCCACTCAAACTGTGAGGATGTTCGTATACACAAAATTGACTGCGCTAGAAGGTGTACTATTAAATTTCTTTGACAAATTCTTGGTATGGGATAAGAGGCAGATTTCATGCACCAGAATGCACTCCATTAGGGACCATGGAAAAGCCTCCTCAAGCTGGGTTGTCTAGTGCCCTTCGTTGTGTTCTGCTTTGTCATGCAACATAGGGTTCGACTAGTGATTCTTCCTAGCCTTCTCATCCTGATCGGGCTGTTCAAATCATCTCATCACAAGTAATTACTGATTCAGCCATTAAATCACGATCTGCGTCTGGTCCTGTTCACTTTTGAAATTTCCCAATTCTTTTCTAAAAGCAACACGTTTATTTGATTCCATACAGTAGTGTATTCTTTTTACTCTAGTTGACGAATGTATTTGGTTGATTTCCAATACTAAGTTCCCTTGTTTCTATAGGCCGTACTGCTGGATTTTGTGCGCTGTGTGCCCTCCAGAATCATGTTGTAGATGCTCTACAGTCAACTGGGAAAATATTGAGGCCTTTTCATCTAGTCAAGAACTTGCGATGTATCCAGACTTATGTCATATTTCTCCAATTCTTCTTTGTTTATGGTCAATATCTCCATTTTTTTTCGCGGTTAATTTTTCTTGACCACATGATCAGGTATATCCAGAAATTTTCGAAATTCAAGACAAGAAGACGCTCATGAGTACATGATTAATTTACTCGAAGCTATGCACAAATGTTGTCTGCCTTCTGGGGTTGCTAGTGAGTCTGCTAGTGCATATGAGAAAAGTTTGGTTCACAAGATCTTTGGTGGCCGTTTTAGGAGTCAGGTTGTCTTTTCTCTTTGTTTGTTGAAATTCTTGTGCTCCTATTAGACAAACCATTTCATAAGTAAACTGGAAGTTTTTTAACAAATTGAAAATTTAATTTGCATTGAAATTACAGACTGAAAAATAACATGATCTACTTGGATCAACCATGTACTTGATTGTAGTTTGACTTTTGAACAAGAAAAGAGGAAGAAATCGTAACTTCTAGTGGTCTACCTTTGTTTCTGATTCGGCTACATTATCTCACTGGTCACTTTCATATTGTGCATTCCAGGTGAAATGCATGCAATGCTCATACTATTCTAATACATTTGATCCCTTCTTGGATTTGAGTTTGGAAATAGTGAAGGCAGATACTTTATGCAAAGCACTTTCTCATTTCATTTCTGAGGAACAGTTAGACGGAGGAGAGAAGCAATACCATTGCCTCCAGTGCAACCAGAAAGTCAGGGCCTTGAAGAAGTTAACCATTCACAAAGCCCCTAATGTCCTTACCATTCATCTAAAGCGCTTTGGTTCGCACGTGTCTGGGCAGAAAATAGGCAAACAAGTTCAGTTTGAGCCTAAATTGAACTTGAAGCCTTACGTCAGTGACCCTCTGGTGAGCTGCTGATTTTTATGCATGAAATCATCTTGTTGGAAATTGCACGACGTCATCTGAAAGTTTGTTGCCGTGTGTTAAATTTTCAGGAAGGAGATTTGATGTACACACTTTATGGGGTTTTGGTGCATGCTGGTTATGGAACCCATTCCGGACATTATTACTGTTTCATTCGCATTCCTAGTGGAATGTGGTACTCTCTCAATGATGACCAGGTTAAAAAATCATGTTCTTTGTCACATATTATTATTTCGTCCATTGCTTGAGATATGATAGATGAGGCACTTCCGTGCATTATTTTTATTAATGGGACGTGCGTATTGTTAGTTGATGTATTCAGAGGAAATTCGTTAGCAAAACGAACAAAAAACATATTCCTATATCTTTAGTCGTTCTAATTATAGATTCATTATTCAAATTGTTAAAAAAAAGCTTCCTATATATTGCATTAGGTGACCACATGATTACCCTGTGGAGCTTGTCTCAGAGGATGACTCTTGGCTCGGCACCTATCACTTAATTGATGTTTTTTTTTCTCGTCGTGGGCTTTTATGGAGCAGATCCTGATACATCACTTCTCTAGTTCGAGTCCATTATTCAAAATTTCCTTGTATCATGTCTCGTGGTTGATTTATTCTCTGCTGAAGTAATATTATGTTCTGTGTGAAATATAAAACTGTTAATTTTTATCGGTTCATTTTATGCGCAAAAAGATTCTTTACCATTTTTTTTGAAAAACTTAGGCATGCAAAAAGAAAATGAAATGGAGAAACTGCTCAGTTATTTTCTTGGGCTGTTGCTCCAGGTTTCCCAAGTTAGTGAGAAGACTGTCTTGCAACAGAAAGCTTACATGCTGTTTTACGTTCGCAATATCAGTTCTGCCCCCAAAATGGGACATGATATCACTCGTACGGACAGTAGACCATCAACTACCTCTGCAAAAGTGGAGTCCACACCATTGAAGGGAATTTCAGACGCAGAACACCTGCTGAAGAAAGTCTCCATTTTACCAACTAGTACACATGCAGCTAAAGCACAGCAGTCCAAAGGGAGTAGCAATGTACGGCTCTCACATTGTGGACGTCTCTGTTTTCGATCATTTTTATAGCTCAACTGTTTCTTCTCCATGTTTCCGTTCATTACCTTTGTTCTCCATTTGTCTCTGAAGAAAGATAATTCGTGCAAGGCAAGGCCATTGTAGATCATGTAGGGTAGTCAGCATAGTCCTTGACATTGGCAAGCGACCTTTTCCAGCAACTTGCACGCTGTGGGTAGCTGGTCTGAGATTAGCTAATCACTTTTGTAGGTTTTGCAATTTTTTTCAGCTTCTGATTATCCTCATATCTCTTTGACTTTATGTATTGGATCGTCCTGCTCCCAGGATGCTGTGATATATGATCAGGAATCAAAAGATCAAGCTACTGCAAGGGTTCGTGAAAGCACTTTGAATGAAGCTCGTGCGATGGATCATAGTAATATCACGGGAAGTGCACCTTCTCTGAGGGAACCGATGTCTCACAGTGTCTTCCGCAAGATCATCACCAAAGGGAAAGGTCTGAAATCTTCTCATTTGAGAAACATCTCATTTGGTCCCAGACGATTTCTACTCTTGTCCTTGACTATGCAAAAAAAGAAGCGTTGTTCAAGAAGAAGAAATCAATCCTTGACGACTGGGAGTATCAGAAAATCTGGAATTCCAGAAGGCAACAATGACCCAGGAGGGGAAAATGCCTTCAGTGCTCCAGGAGATGTGAACTCACTTGGCAGTGGTCAGCCAAATACAATGGATGTGGATCTTATTGGCCCTGAACGAGGCTTATCTTCAGAGGCAGGTCAGCACAGTACAGTGGAGGCTGGAACTTCAAGCAATTCTTTGAGGAATAGATCCTTGAACCCATTCACCAGGAATTTCGGGGAACTTTCAGGTTGGGCTAGATTTAGTTTATATACATATATAATACATATTTCCCTAATATCAAACTTTGTTGATTTACTTTAATTGGTAAGTTTTCAATCTTCCTCTTGTATTAGTCCCGCGGTGGGATGACATAGATCTACAGCCCGGGATCCAGCTTATAGATGATGAGCCCAGCAGCGTCGGCTATGTGCTCGATGAAGAGTGAGTTCTTCCTTCGTCTCAATAAGTCTTTCATTTTCTTCCCCACCTTCATCTTATAAGATCACTTCACGGAAGTCAGCAATAGCCCATCCGAAGAACATCAAGCCATTTTTGTCTTCCTATGGAGGTTTTGTGATCTTCTATAGGTCAATTTCTATTCTGGGATGAAATGAACAGGGTTAGGCCCAAGAGGTTTCATGTTTGTCTTACAGCTTTCAAAGAACCTTTCGAGTCACTTTCAGGGAAAAAAATACATAGTCTTTGCCCTTTGATTCCCTTATTGGTTGCCTTATTGCGATTGCCCAGGGAGAAGGAGTACGACCGGGGAAGGAGGAAGAAGGTGAGAAGGCCGAGAGACTCATTTAGTGGGCCAAACCCATTCGAGGAGCTCGCCGTAGCAAGAACACAGAAGAAGACGAGGACGGGGCGAGGCGGCTGCTGGAGATAGGCATCGTATCGTCCATCCTCGGCATGTCTGCTACCACCCTCTTCTATTTTTTTTCGCCGATTATTGTGCGCGTTTCTTGTCATTCAATTATTACAAATGGGGGCAATGGAAGGTTTTGTGACTCAAATAATGGGGATTTATTGATATCTTCTTCTTGCTCTTCTAGTGATGATGTATGTGTTGGAGGTTTTTCTTATCAATTTTGCCTCTTGAAATATGTCGATTGAATAATTCCAGAAAAATATTAAAGAAAACAGAAACCTGCAGACCACTTCTGGGTGTTCTTTTTTTTTTTTGGTTTTTTATAGGAAATTAATGGTGGAGTTTTCCCTCATATATTTTTTTAATTTTTGAAACAGAATAAAATGTATGATTAAATAGAGTAATAATTTTCCCGATCGAGCTGGTTTTCATGGTCTCCTGTTGAACTCAGCGCGATGATCCGAGATGGCTGTAAGCTCACGATTACCTGCTCTAAAATGGCGGGCCTTTTTGTGGGGTCAACCCTAATTCATCCGCTCTCCCTTTCTGCCATGTCCGCGTAACAGAGGGATCGCGCTACAGACCCATTCCAGTTTTCTGGCGGTGAACACGCCCGGCATTCCCATCTCGTATCTGTGACCATGGCGACCGGAATGGGAGGGAGAAGAGGGGGGTAGAGAGAGAGAGAGAGAGGGCTGGGGACAGCCAACTTCTCTTCCGTGGTCGAGATCTTGGGGAGCTCTTTCGGTCTGATAGCTGTCCGTTGCTGGTGGTGCGTCAGTCTGGAGGAATCCCTTTCAGCCGAAGAACGTATCGACGAGGTCGAAGCATCTTTCCCGTGTTGACGGCGCCGCCATGGGCGTGTAGTTGTGGATCTTAACTTCTCTGGTGTGATCGCTTCCCAGAGGATCGCAGGTTCCCAGGTAGGTCGTATCTTCCGCATCATTCCCTTTCTCTGAATCGTATTGCGATTACTTGACGCTCACAAGCTGTCCGTCTTTTGCCTCAGAGAGAATCCGTCCCCACACCGGACGCTCGTCGGACTGGAGGAGGAACTCGAGATAACGACGCATCGGCCTAGTCTCAACGATGCTTAAGGTCGATCCAGTGACCGCTACGGCGGGACACCGAGTGCTTCTCTGCCTCCTTTGCCTGGCCGTTTCCTCCATGGCTCTCGACCAAGAAAACGAGTAAGTCTCCTGTTTCTGGATTCCCGAGTCACACATCTTGTCGAGGGTGGAGCATAGGGAGAAGTTGTTCACCGCGGACAGTTGATGTTCATCTTCCTTCGAACAATCGTCAGGACGAGGATCACGATGCTGGACGTGGGTGAGGAGCTTCTAGGAGAGACTCTGCCGTTGAAAATGGGTCAGCGTCTCTATCAGCTGCGCGGGCTGAAGGCGTCCACATGGTATGAAGTGAAGATATCATACCCAGCTTCTGTATGCGCCTTCTGACCTCCGCTTTCGTCATTGGGTTTTCCATCCCTTTTTTGTCGTGCTCAATGCTAATCTGTACATTTTAAGGCCAAATTTATCTTTCGAATGGCAGATTCCAGCCAGCTTTTCCATTGAGTTGAGGAGGAGTACGGCCGATTCTCTGTTTGGCAAGAACAGAAGGTTACTCAACACGGAGAAGCTGGTTTTCAAAGCCGACATTGATGGGGTAGTTGTTGATTAATGACGGCTGATTCTAGGGATGCTCTCGTTGACCTGCTCTTACTTAGCTTTTGAAAGCAGGAGGCTGGGGGTGTTTGGAGCTTTGTCCTTGTTACTGTGGCGGCTGCTGGAGTTGTTGCTAAACCGCATGTGCAGGAGAGAGACACTGTTCTCTTCAACATTGGTAAGCTGATCTTTCTTTTCTACATGAGCTTCCCGTTCTTAGATTAGTCATTTGAACTGAAAGAGGCATTTGGCGATCGAAGTATACCCAGAAGTTATACGGACCTTCTTTCTACTTTATTTATTTGAGTACTAGTAGAAAGGACATTGATTTGATGTTTTAATGAGCTGGTCCTTCTTTCCAAATCCAATGCTGCTTATTATCACGGGCTTCAATCGTGATTAGCTAGTTCCCTTGCTGGAGATTTGCATTCTGGGTAGGTATCAAGCTCATCTAGTCTTTTCCTTTTTCTCTAGTATTGGAAATTCAGATTCAACTGTTTCCTAGAGCGATACGAGGGTTTGTTCTATCAACCCTTCAGATCATTAAATTTTGTCGATGATTCCATTAGTCTCAGAGGGTTTAATTGGTTTCGAAGCCATCAAGGAAAATATGAGAAATAATGATTGGATTTCTTCTCCTTGAAACAGAGTGAATGGCAATGCTCTTAGTGCTGTTGTGGTTATCAGATGAGTATCAGGGATGGAGGAAGGTACACTAATCAGATGATTATCACGGATCCTTTCCTCATTTGAACAACAGTAATTGTTACTTTATGCAAGTAATATGAGTATTTAATTACGCATATTGCAATGTTTGAGTTTGAAGATGTCTAGGAACATTCAACTAGACGGAACATGTTTTTGTCAAGTAATTTTAGAGGCAGTAATGGATCACTTCATCAATGAAACAGAAGTCGTTTAGAGGCACTCATTGGTGTGTATCATATACAAGCCTGAAGCTTCCAAAGTGGACCAGAACAACACACTATGGGATCATCATCATGATTTCCATCTCTCTGGCCAAAACAGGGCAACGTCTAGTTTGAAAAATGTAGGAAACGGCCCAAAAATGTGGGGTTCATCCGAAGGTTGACCTCTTGGAAGCTCAGGAGCTGCGACCTGCCGAGCTAACAGATACCCTTTTTAAGGGAAGTCAAAATGAGATACATTCTGTATTTTACCAATTGCACCCAACTTTGCACGCTCTTGAAATTTGCTATTTTTCTCACTGTTGTTGCTTTTCTTGGTCACGATTTAGGATTGCACGCTCTTGATTCCTTTTCATTCTTTAAAACCTTTGCAGTGTGTGATGAATTATCATTTGGGATTCCTCTGAAAGCTTGGTGCGTTGGACTACTAGCAGCTCTCTGCCTTTTCTTGGCTGCAATTGTACCCAACTTCCTCCCCTTAAATCTGCTAACAAGCAATCAGATTGATGGCCCAACTGAAAAGGCTTCATCAAAGGAATCTTAATATAATATCTGTGCTCCTAGTTCTTTCTACTTCTTGAGGTATAAGGACAGATTGAGTAAAAGTTGGAGGGTGGGATCACTCAAGAGCTAGCTTTGGGGCAATCTATTGAGAATGTTGTCATGACATCTTTGATCTTCATAACTATCTTTTTTCCCCTCTTTAGATGATCTATGTATATGCATTATTTTCTGTCAAGCAATGTCAATACCTTTTTAACATGTTATTTTCAATACTTTATTTTTTATTTGGGTCCATACTGTTTGGGTATACTTAAGTTCCTTTCCTCTCTTGCACGAATTAGACCGGTTCAGTTAAATATGGGTCTAGCCTAATTGTATCATTTAGGTCTGGTATAAATAAATTAGTTCCACATAATTTGAACTTGAGAATAGAAGATTAGGGTTTAGTCTGATTTTGTATTTTCTCTTCTCTATTTGTTATTGTAGTGACTGCATTTGCTTGAGGAGATCAAGTAGAGTTATTAACGTAATATTAGAACACTCAAGTGTAATCTTTCATGTCTTGATCTCTCATTTCTTCTGAGTTGGATATTCACAATTTTGTTTCATGAGTAACAAAGTTCATGGAGAAATCAGTTTACAAATTGTTTCTCAATTTCGTTCAACACTTTTTGAGGGTAGAAAATATCTTAGGGTTGGTTGTACCTTACTTTTGACCTAGTTAGATGGTTTGAGGCTCAACCTCTACTCTTCTTTAGACTCCTATAATGTATGCTTCTAATATTTTTCAAAATATTGGAGGTCAGTTTACCTTCACTGAAGCCATCGAGAAACCGTAATGCGACAACAACGAATCAACTCTTACTACACTTTGATCGAATTGTGATACCGAATGCAGATCATTTAGAAGGTCGAATTCATATTGGATATGCCACAACAAGTAAAAGTGACTTTTAAAAAGTAAAAAAATGATAAATCATTTGTTGAATAATAACATTTCACAAATCTAGGAATAGAGATTCAAAAATTATGACTTAGATGTAGACAACCATGACTCCAAATACTAGAACATTTTTCTACTTATATACAACAAAAAGTATATGAGTTTTACTAGATGTACTCTAGACCTAGAGTGTAGCACAATTATATGAATTGATGTGGAAATTATCTAAGATAAGGTGAAAGAACAATGACATATTAGACAAATGAATTGAAGGTACTTTGGTAGAAATTTGATCTATACATGATGGTGTGTTTCAACGATTCAGTAAAAAGTTGTATATAGAAATGTGATGGAAAAATCAAAGTCATAATTATTTAGTGGGTCTCAATCTAGAATTTGATTAGTTACGAGTTCAGATCTAGGTCAAAAAATTATTCAACCTATAAATGAGGTAATATTGTTGACTATAAGAGAAGAAAGTAGAAGTTGGATGCTAAATATAATAGTCAATGAAAATGCTGCATTTAGAAACTAATAAGTTGCAACCCAAACTACAAAATTTTAGAAATACTGAAGGTGATTTGAGAGATCATATGTGATTTACCTAAAGTCAATAGTCAAATTTATGTGGTTGTTGAATCACCCCAAAATGTTACTACAAGTTACTTAAATTAAATAGAGAAACTTCATAATGTGGAAGAAATCAACAAGGTTGAGTTGTCTCTTGCATCATGTTATTTTCTTCATTTAAGTTATCATTCACTAGTGGGCTTGGTGCTATATACCTTACTTACCCTTTCTCTTTTACAAATACTTGGACCATGTAAACTGAAGCCACCCAACACATGACCAACTCACCCATTTAATCTTTCACATATTTTCCTTACATGATTGACAGAAATTTGGTAGCAACTAATGGCTCATTAATAACTTAGTAGTCATAAGGAATGCATCATTTACCTCATTACTCACACTACCTCATGTCCTTCACGTCTCTAAACTAACAACAAACTTGATATTTATTTAGTAAACTTACTAAATAATTAAATTGTGATACCTTTTTTTCTCCTAATTCTTATGAAAACTACAACAAGGTTCAAGAAAGATCGTTGAACATGCTAGAGAGTGGAATGTACTTTACTTCTTTGAGAGTTTATTCATTCACAAATGGCAAATGAAGTTAATTGGTCGTTCCACTTATCAAATTTAAAGCAAGTTTGGTTACATTGTCAAAGACTTAGACATCCATCATTTACTATTATTCAAATAATATTTTTTCATTTTTTTCTATATTAGAAGATGAATTATCTGCTTATATATAATATTTGTACCCATGTATCTTTTTTATTTCCTTGTTGTCCATATCGTTATTACATCAGGCCACTTATACCATGTAACTAAGGTTATAATACCTATCATTGTATTTAAGAGGGTTGCATGCCCTAAGTTAAATAGATCTCTCTTTTCTCATTTTCTATCATTGTCTTTGGTGTTTGCCTTGAAGCAAACTATGAGCCTATATGATTAGAGTTAGTTGTTTGACATGGTATCAGAGCATTAGGTGCATTTGTTTTAAACTCTTATCTCTTACATGTTTGAAATCTCCAGTAAGACTTGTGATAGCTGCATTCTGTTCATTCTTTCTAGGCTTCAAAGTTCTGTCTTATTGACATCATAAATCTTAAGAAATGAAAGAGACCCTTGTATTATCTCTAGTGTCAGCTAATGTAATGGAGTATCTAAGGTGGTTCAAACCCCCTATAATCTCAAAAAAGGTATAGGTTTGATGGATTGAACTTATTACTCGAGATAATATTACACAATATCTAACCTTCGACATAATATTACACAATATCTAACCTCAGCATACTATATGGCGAGAGGCAGATGCAATAATTAAGGCCTAGTTGTTGGAAAATATGGGTCAAATAATTATTGACCATTTCCATATAATACCTTTAGTGAGATAAATTTAGGACAAAGTATATTGTATGCACACAAGGTGAAATGATAAATCTAAGATATCCCACCTAATTACAAAGTTTATGACACTCATTCAAGAGAACTGAAGTGTAATGGACTATGCGAGAGAGCATGAAGCAACATAGATGAAGATTGATATGCACTACAAACTAATAAGGAGTCTTGATTCAAAAGAAAGAAATGGCACATTAAAGGACCAACTCTACAAGTTCATATCTTGATTAAACACCTAGTATGAACAACTAATAAGTCAACTACTAAATCGAGATAGAGTTTTTGATTTTGAGGAAGCAATGGCTATAATCAAGTAGGAGGAAAACCGAATGATCATGATGAGTGAGAATCAATCACTGAAAAGTTTAGCCCTAATAGCAAAAGAGAAAATATTGATCCTTAGCCACGGTGGGGATTTGAAGAGTGCAATTGATTCTTTCGTTTTCAGCAAAGAAAAATATAGTCAACACCCAAAGTAGTGAGTTAATCCCAAAGCTAACTTGTGGTGCTTTTTTTGTCAAAAGAGATGACACACACAGTACAACTGTTAGAAGCTGCACAAATAGTCACATTAATGGGTCAAGGTTATATGAGCATGGTAGCTTCATCAACTCAATGAATGAATGTTTAAACAAACCTCATGGTAGACCCTTCCAAAAGAGAGGTATACATAACACCAATTTACCAGCAGACACCTACCTCTTTTGATGATGAAAAAATAAAAAAATTCAAGGAGATTGAGCGAATGAAACAACTTCTTAGTTTGAATTCATTTGCATCTTCAATAGTCTCCTCTAGTAACTATAGAGATACATATACATATGTTTAAGAGTCACTGATCATATGACCCTCATAGAGCACTTATATGTCATATGAATTGTGTCACAAGGGTATATAAGTTTTGACAACATATGTAAATTTATTTTTATAGAAGGTGTAGAATCTATTCAATCCTTAAAGATTGGTAGAATCTATTATCTTATATGTTCTCTTACTCAACCAACTTAATTTTACTTAGTAAACTTAGATGTTCTTTAAATTGTGACTTGTTAATAATATTTAATGGATGTGTTTTATATGACTAGGACATGAGATGGACTGAACTGATTGGAAAACGTGAATGATTTTATTATATAGAGGAACTTATAAGAATTAAGGGAGAGCATCATTAGGTAGCACAAATAGTGGAGACAACTTTTATGATGGAGTCTATGGGCGGACAATCATTAAAGGAAAAACTTATTATGATTCATAGATGCTTGTGATATCCATCAATTATGACTTTTAAAGCTTTATTTGTAAACTTATGTAGTGAATTCAATGTTGACTCTTTTGTATGTGCGGCTTGTCAATTAACTAATAATAGATGCTCAATTTATTTTTTATCAAATTCAAAAATTTTCAAACCTTTTGATTTAATTCATAAAGATGTGTGGGGACCAGCACAAGTGAGAACTATTTATGACTATCGTTGGTTCATCACATTTATAGATGATTGTATTAGGATGACATAAATCATAAATTAGAAGTGAATACAAAATAAAACATTTATTCTCAATGGTGAAATAATAATTCAATATCACTATTATATATTTTAGGTTTGATAATATAGAGAATTGCATCAACATAGATCAAGTTTAATTCTTTTAAGTAAATTGGGTAGTTCATAAAACATCATGTGTGAACACTTGACAACAAAATGAGACTGCAGAAAAAAAGAACCAACACTTACTAGAGGTGACTAAATCACTCCTAATCAAAAGAAATGTCCCAAAATACTTGTGATCAATATTAGATAAGAAAAGTCAATATAATTCATATAATTATATATTTCTGATTTAAAATTGAAAACAAACCTTACATCCAAAATATTTAAGTGCATGTCATATACTTATACTACACCAAAAAATTAGACCTTAGGGTACTTAAGTACATCTTTGTGGGATATTCTATCACACAAAATGGTTATAAAATCTATCACCATCAAATGTGAAAATTCTATGTTACAATAGATATTACATTTAATGAGAATGAAAGCTATTACAAGACAAATGGAGAGCAATTAATTGAGAATGAGATTAAAGAGAAGTACTTATTCAGAGATGAAGTAATATCCCATA